TAATAGAAGAGAGGAGAATGGTGAAAGAGAAAATGATTCAATGCAAAGACGGAAAAGAGAAAGAGACGCTGAGCTCAACTTACACAACAATACTGGACAAAGAAGGAAGAAGAGTGCTAGGAAGGACAAAAGACAATTCTACGACAACCTCGCCACTGAAGCTGAGAAGGCAGCAGGCAAAAGGGACCTGAAGACATTATATCAGATAACCAAATCTCTATCCGGGAAGAGATCAACACAAGCGAAACCTATAAAAGACAGCCAAGGGAACCCAATTACCAAGGAAGAAAAACAGATTAAACAATTGGCAGACCACTTCAAAGGACTCTTGAACCGACCATCACCTGCAACCCGTCCAGAAATACCAACAACAGGGCGTACACATATAACTGCAAGTTGACACCAATCCTCCAACGAGAGCTGAAGTCTTGAATGCAATCAAGCTTCTGAAAGCTGGAAAATCAGCCGGACCAGATAGAATACTCTCTGAAGCACTGAAAGCCGACCCAGAGACGATAGCAGACATGCTGACTCCATTATTGCAAAAGGTCTGGAAGGAGGGAAAGGTGCCTACTGACTGGAGGAAGGGATGTCTCGTGAAACTACCTAAGAACGGCGACTTATGACTCTACAAAAACAAGCTGGATTAAGGAAAGGCAAATCATGTACTGACCAAATTGCAACTCTACGCATCATCACCACAGAACAAAGCATAGAATGGCGATCAAACCTCTACATCAACTTTATAGACTTTTAGAAGGAATTCGACGGCCTTCATCGTGAAGTAATTTGGAAATTACTCGAGTACTACGGCGTACCCCAAATATTTATCAACCTTAATCAACAGCTGTATGACAACGGCACATGTCAAGTGATCCACAACGGAAAACTCAGCGAGGCTTTTGGAGTAAACACAGGAGTCAGACAAGGGTGCTTATTGTCACCAATGATATTCCTAATTGTGGTGGATTGGATCATGCGTCAGACAGCAAGTGGGAAACGACAAACGGGACAGGGATATCCCGGACCGACGTGAAGAACCTAGAAGACCTGGATTTCGCGCGTGGATGATTTATGTTTGATGTCACACAAAATCGAAGACTTACAAGCGAAGACCGACCGACAAACTGTTAGAAGAAGCAGCCGGCGAAGACAGGACTCCAGGTGAACATAGACAAAACGGAGGTCATGAATATAACCAACAAACAAATTAGCGAAAATAATCGTGTCACATTATGCACAAAATATACAGGGATTTAAAAATATAGAACCAACCAACAGAGTAAATGTCTATCCAATGTCACTAAGTAGACTAATAATAATAATAGTATATTCTCATTTCGTACATGAGGGACGCCAGTTTACAGGCATCATCAATATGATAAATTACATATACGATTAGCAATCATACTTAATAATAATGTTTTAATAAAATACACATTTTTCCTACCTGTGTAGGACACATCAAATGTACAGGCATGGATAAGCATTATTTAAATTTCATAAATTTGGTTTATAGTTAAATTACATGGTTGCTGACGTTTCTGTCTTTGGTTTGTGCGAACAATATGATAACCAGTCCTCATATTATTACGAATTAAGGTCATGCGGCGACGATACCAGGGGCGAATAAGTGTGATGCTGAAGAGAATCTGTATGGTCGACCTAAGAAGGATGGGTTGACAAGAAAAGTGTTCAGGAGAGCGGCGAAGGCGGAAGCCAAATATAACCTACTAATCGCTGAACAAAGGCGTGCTGGAAAAGGCAAAAGACAAACTCGCGACAAATTTACGGGCGCAACAAAATAGACTGAAGGCGAAGGGGACCTGAGAACACTACGTAAATTGCGCAGGCCGCTACCCAACCAGGGATAAGCATAGATAAAATTTTTGTAAGACAGTAACGAAAATCCATAGTGATTACTCTAACGATCACTTGGAAAGACTCTTGAATCGACCATTGCCTGCAATACCTCCCGGAATACAACTGGCAGACACAGCCTTCAGTGAACAGAAATCCTCCGGCAATAGCAAATTCTTGAATACCCTCAAATTATCGAAAGCCAGGAAAGTGGCAAAACTAGGTAGAACTGCAAAAACACTGAAAACGAATTCAGGGAGACGGAAGATATCCTAATACCTTTATCAAGAAAAGGACAGGGGGAAAATGGCTTAACTGCCGATTGGAAAATTGTTTATCTAGTCAAACTGTCAAGGAATGGAGACTTGGACGTACGTGAGAAGTGACTCCTTGTTTCAGCAGCAAGAGTCACTAAGGAGGATGACAATGTCAGCATCAGTAATACAATTAAGATCTTCACTGCTCTCCCAATAGACAGTTTATTTACTCTGAATGTTTTTGAGCTCGTTTCCAGTTGGCTTGAAACCAAAAGTAACGCTCACAACCATCTATTTTGATAGATCTGAGCTTTGAACATACTACCTGTTGGTTTTTTAACGACGACTGGAGGTGAAATGGCTGAGACTCAATTGGACTGAGAAACTTCTTTCTATATGTTCTGATACCAGGGCGGAGATGAGCATCACTCAGCCGAACAAACGCAGTAAGAATTTCTAATATCAGTTACAAGCAAATGTTTCCATATGTGTTAGGAGAGTTACACACACCCAAATGAAAGTATTTTTGGCAGCATATCAACATGTTTCCATCAGCAGCCGTTTGCTTTAGCCTGATACTGAAGATCAGTTGGCCTGTGGAAAAGGATACGAAACAAACAAATCCCGCAGTGAATCAACCCAAAACTCCCATCCGACAAATATGTAGAAGGAAGTGTAGTTAGACTGAACAAACTCGAAAATGTCGATTACACTTCAGGTATTCGAGTAGAACTTGAATAAGTTTCGACAGGTCACGAGTCTGAGTTTGATGCCGAAGAAATCGTGAGAAGAAACAGTTATAGAATGGCTCATGCTGATCAGCAGATATGGTAGTGGTCACAGGTGTGAATCGCTCCGATTTGTAGGACAGCAACATGCATTTTTCGAAAGCTTCAGAATTAGGCATGAGTCCAGACCCTTAACGAAAAAATAAAAGTTATACATATATAAATTATTAAAAAATGCTTTTGCTCCTACAAGCCTGCTCAGCTTCTTGTCAAGATGCTACCTATGAGCTATACAGAAATTAGTGAGATATCATTCAGGTAAGCTTGTTCTACGGGTTCTAATCTTCCAGACCTTTGAATCCACTTCCAACTGAAATATCACTTATCTAAACCAGGATAATCTTAATTACGTACTATTATACGCTATTTTATCTCCGCAACCTAGGCTTTATTAAAGCTAAAATTTACTCTTAGTTCACATTTGTTGCTTGCTTAAAGTCTGGTTGCTTTCAATAAAGACACAACAACATCAATGTTTGAGCAAAGCTATATTTTCATTGAAAATCTCATAGTTTTCATGCCAAGGCCAATGTGGTTAGCGTTAAACATTGCGTGCGTATACTATCATCTCAAGGAGTCTGCAGCTCCTTTTTGTATGTATCTTGTAAATGTACTTCCAATGATGTACTACCCATGGTTGTACCCCCAACTGATTGCAGATACCGAGGACTTTCTTCTCCTCCTGAAACTGTTTTTTTTATGTGGCGGCATAGCACTTACCCAAATATACCCTGTTCACTGGTTTACCGTAGCTATGAGTAAGAAACCGAGAGAAATATGGGTTGTCAGTCAACTTCGATGCTGACCTTAGAAAGAGGCTTAAAATTTAGCATTTATAAGAACCTGTTATGTTTGCCTGTACAAAAACTGAACAATTTAAACTTCTGAAAAACTAGTGATTTATGATACTTCAGGTTTGTAATTTATAATATTACTGATCGTGCCTTTAAAATTGGCATGTATTTCTCGTAAACCTACCCGTTTATACAAAATATAAAATTATTATTACTACTAAAAAACAGTTTGTGAAAAGTCGTTGAGCTAATTAAAAGTGATGGTTTGTGAATTGATTGGACGAAAGACATGTTGCTAAGGCTCTTTGTTCCACTTGGATGCCACAAGCCAATAATTTTTGGGAACTATTTACGGCTAAATTACCAGAAGCCTTGAGGTCATTTCAGTTGATTTCAGGCACATAGGGCGAAGATGGACAAGTTAGTTCTCCAAAACCTCATTCCGGACAAGAACGGACAATGTAGATAACACAGAAGTCCCAGAGTATAACAAATCTATCCACCATTTGTCAGTAATTTATTGCATTAGTAAAAAGGCCCACTATCAACCCAAGCTATATAATGAAAAAAATCAACAGTGTAGGATGACACTTCAGAGATAAATCGACAGGTTCCGATTGAATATACGATCTATTTTTGCAATTTTCACTGCTATAATGAACAGGAGGTGATTTCCTGGGAAATTAACATTGACTGTGATGATTTAAAACAAGTTCTTTCAGTAACCTTAAGGAAACACTATACTCTGAACTGAATGGTGCCTCAAAAGGTCAGGGTGAGACAAAAAGTCCTGTTTGTGGTACGCTATTAATATTATCATGTATATACGTCAGTTTCATATTTCACTAACTGTCTGGTTTTACGTTTCCTTTATTTCCGTTTCTGTCTTTTAGTCTGAATAACCTACACTAATTGTATCTGTTAATATCATTACCTGTTTTCTTTTTCGAAGACTCTGGATGACCAACCTGTGAAAGGATCGACCCCATTCGCATAACAACAAAGTCTTAACACACCGCATACTATATAATATATAATTAATCCCAGCACCACCGCGTTCGGAGTCAACCGGAACCGTGGCGGCCGGACGAAGTAAGCATAAGTTTACTGAAGACCATGAACGATTACTTGGCGATCAAGAAGAGAGTACAAAGAAATCAAATTATTTCATACTAGCTTGTAAAAATGCATTGGATATTGGATACTGACCTACTAATTAACCCGGGTGTTATGATTGATCCCTGAAGGTCACCTTCGGTTCGTTTCTGTTGAGACGTACTTAAGGGCTGAAATAGTGGAGTATGTATGTAAGCAAATGTATGCATATACCCAGCAAAGTTTAAGAGGTGACTCTTAACTGTAGCTGCCCAAAACGAAACTACCACTAGCGTCCAATCAGAAGAGTGAAACTGCGTAATTTGAAATAAACGCCTATATATATATATATATATATATATATATATATATATATATATAAGTAATGCAATATTAAAACATGGTTATATAGGATAATATTTTTGTATACGTTCCAAAAAAACCTCATAATTTCACAGAAGATTCCTTATTGTCACGATAAACCAGCTTCTGTACACAAATTCTACGAAGTCATGAATCCGTTCATCAGGTGTTTTCGTTCTGGGATGCTATTGTTTAGAGTCACCAAGCCTGCCAATCATAAAAATAAGTGAATTTCACACTAAATACGTTTATTTTCCGTAAAAAGCATTAAAACTGACTAAGGAGGATATTTGAAATATTTTCAAATGTAGCTCCCAATTATAATGAGTATCAGATTTTAAGTTAGACCAGTTTCTGTACACTTAACCACCGAGATGACTGAAGATGAGCCTTTATAATTCCCCTTTAGTCGCTCTTATTGTGTTTTACATTCTTCCCTATAAGCCCTCGGTTGAACTGCAATAGATTCTAGTAACAAGATTAACCACTTTCTACTAAGTAAATGTGAATAATGAAATAATTAAAATAAATAATACTTACCCCAAATCTCACCCCAATGGTAATCCTAGGCTGGATACTGACCCTAATGATAACCTTTATCCTTTATCCTAACCCTAATCATAGTCCTTATCTTAACCTTAATCCGAATTATAATCCTGGCCGTAACTCTAATCGTAGCAGTAACGAGCTATTAAGACATTGTGCGAATAGTATTCAGAGACGTTATCGGGGTGAAATTTACACCTTAAATCGTGAATGGTGCTCTCATTAGCGTTATGACAATAGTCTCGTTATCCAACGACTAATATGTGTTCAAGGTTATTGGAACGCTTGCTCTCCTGGGACCTGATACTTTAACTTCGCACTGATCATCCGATGTATAGTGATACCTAAAACGACCGTCCATACTCACGAATAAGATAGCTACATGCTGTTGTCGTCACTCAGCTACAGAAAATGACATGATAAACAACCATCTTGATGAATTCATGTACTGGAATTGGCTTGGACTAACACTTAAGACTCCATTGCCGAACTGGGAGACCTTAGGGCACATAAGTCATCACCGTGCCCTACAAATATGTTTTGCTGGTTCCATTTCTTAAGAATTTTTCTCAAGTTAAACGTCTTTGCTATATACATATATATATATATATATATATATATATATATATATATATATATATATACTTAAAAAGATAACCGGAATATCCGCTACTATAGGTCATGCCGATTTTCCATTTGGTTATATGCAAGATAATAGCCTATATATAAGTGAAATGATTTTTTACTTTGAATTAAGAGTGCAAATAATTGTCTAATATTTTCATAGTTTTTTAACACTGTGTTTTCCAGTTTGAAACCTCACTGTTTGCATTATTTCTCATTCAAATCAACTGGTTCCCTGCACAAAAAGCAACGTCAATTAATACAGACAGAATTTTATTTATTTTTTTATTTTTATTTTTTGTTTACAGCTTGATTCCACACCGTATTTTTGGCACAAGTATGGAATTTTCAGCGTGGATATCGGTAGCCTAAAATTCGCAGGCCAACCATAGATATCAGGTGTGCATCGGCGTTGGCTCGAACCTCGGACCATGTGCATGGTCGACGAGAGTCCTAACCACTGTGCCACCGACGTACTGTGTGGCTCCGACAATATTGGGCTAATATTTCACTATTTTGTGTATTTGCAAAGATTTGTGCTTTCACAGTGGCTCGCTTAAGTTATAGATCTAATGATGTACATTGAACACATGTATTCATGGTATGGGATTGTAAGCTCAAGGTGATTTTTGCTCATGCTTGGAGTATGTATCTATTGGAATTCAGTTCCTTTTTGAAAGCATTCACCAAACGGAACTTATAATGCAGCTGAACTAATTCATAGATATTGAAGTCTAATGCTAAACTGATGCTTTATGCACTGATAACACACTAGTGTGTACTAATGCAATTTAGGAGGCGTTTAAAAAAGCACAATGGATTATAGAAATAACCAACTTGTTTACTTTGGTGTTAGGAAACTGAAAGCTACCAATCAGAGAATGCGTAAATGGCATAGCTACTGTGGTGGCTACGCACTTTGCGAAGTTTCTGATACTGCTAATTCCCGCATTGCGTCCTATCCACCCACATATACACAGAAACTGCGTTCTACATGACGTCTATCCTACCGCTATTCAATATCTCGTGACGGCTCCTGAAACGCCTTTAAAGGCGAGAAAAGTATGAAAGACCAACCTCCAAAACATTTAATATACGACAGTCTGAAATAATATCATTCCTCCTACAATGTGTTATGGCAAGCTGGCTAAAACATTCGACGTACAGACAGTACGCCTTGGGTTCAAATCCCAACCACCTAATTCAGTCTGAGAAACTGAGTAGTACCATGTTTTCTCACAATAGAATTGTGGCTCACAGCCTGACACATGAGAAATCCATTTCTAGTAAGTTAATTGTGAATTCTAATAGTATAATAATGAAAAATTGTTTTCATATTTTTTGTGGCTTTTCCATATACCAGAACGACAAGCGAGTTCAGTTAGTTTCTTATATATTTTTGTACCTCACAACTAAAAGAACTGGTTTTATTATGACCAACGAGACAAATAGTGGAATTGTATTCTAAATTTTTATTATGGTTTTAAATATATAATAGTTAAATACTTTGGTTATGAATGAATTCGCAATAACATATGCATTTTGTTTTGTAGGCCTGTAATCAGCACAAAATAATTTTAATTCCAATGCAGACGATATTGAACTCTAAGAATAAATTGATTACATATGGTACATTGGTTTCACACCTCCATGGGTAGTTGGCAACGTTGGGTGCTTTTATTTGCTTTTTCGGCAACTGTGGCATCATTTTTGGCAAACATTTTGTTCTTTAGTCTTGTAAATTTACATGACAAAGATTCGTATGTTCGAAAAAGGATTAAGGGCGAATTCGTTCATGTCGAAGACGCTGGTAATGAACAGAGGTGGTTGAAGCTTCTGTATGCAAAAAATGAACGAAAGTTTCCATACGATACTAATGCCAAACAAGAATGCCGTATGGATACCTGTTTTGATTATACACTTTGTCAGTCTGATTTCAAAGTGAGTTATAGTGTAGTTGTTTTAATCCTTCTGATAACTGTTATTCCCATTTCATATCTTGACAAGTTTTAAAAATTGGGTTTATTTCCACCAATTCTTTATCATTTATTAACGTGTTTCGAGCTAAATAGAGATTTCGTTCAGTGTTGCTAGTCTTCAAAGTCGTCTGACAGGGAGAACTACACCTACAGATATGGTAACTTATTTTCACTCTAATTGTAGACTATATTCACTATCAGTATGTTGTTCTAAAGGCGTAAACATAATGAAGATCAGATGTCACGTTGGATTTACCCTACTTCATACACAACATGTATTCCATTCATAATTTTGAGATACAACGACTCAATTAGGCTTGTCATTTAGTTTTATTATCTGCTTTTTGTGCTATATTTATATATTGTTCAGGTAGTTGTTGGCTTTTTATGAATTTTCTCTTTTTCATGCCTGGAAACTACAATTTTTACCGTTAGTTAGTACAGTGGTTAAGGATATTTTCCTTGTAATGTCAGCCGTAATTTATGTACAGTTCAACGTAGTCAGTAGTTTTAGGCATCGAAATTTTGAAGTTTTTCACACTTCGCTTCATTCCCTCATCTCAGCGCCAGTAAATCAGAATTTGGTTTTTCCTAATTTAATCATTTCTTTCCGCTTGAAGTGTATGCCCATTCTTTGTAGTATCATTCATTCACTGCTCGTTTCGTCTTTTTGTTCTTTTGTGAAGCGTAATAATTGGAACAAACACTTTTCTGTGGAAGTTTTATGATGAACTGTTTGCTTACATGGGGTCTGAATGTGTTACTCTTAAGGTATTCGAATTTCGGACATGTGAGAGCTGGGTACTCACAGAGATAACTTTTTGAGCCTTCATTTATAAATTCAATTACACGTTAGAGCCGTTCATTTTGCATAACAGGCAGCATTGTACTGTTGTATGCTAAAGGATATTTCAAACGAGTTTTACTGGTCATTGTCACATTCTGCAGAAAAAACCGTATTAGATAATGGGCATTTCACGGACTGACTGAGTTTTGGCATATGAGTTTGCACGGAAGTGCAACAGTTTAAGTTGCCACACTCCACGCAGAACACAAAGGTAAACAAAAGGGAAAAATAGATTCAAATGAAATATAATGGACAGAAACGTGAGGAAGGAAGAATAATAACATGAAAAAAGTGGTTTAATGGATTCAGAGAGTGAATGCAACTGCAACATTGAGGACGGTTTTGGGTCATATCACCACCAATCTCCACCTATTGGTTCTTAGCATCCTGAGGATCCCAAGCAGACAGTCGACACCTTCCTACGTAGCTCACGTCAGCTGTCAAAGTTTCCACGGATTGACACCAGGTTTTGGTTTGTCAGCTAACATCGCTCATTGAGGAAGCGATGGGTTGCCATGTAAAACATTTGTCCTGGTCATCTCAATCGATTCACCTTCACAAGCCCATCGATCGATTTCTCTTCCTCATGTAACACTACGCTTAACCTCTATGTTACTCATCATAATATACCACTTAACATGGGAGATAGAACACAATCACCAATGGTCAAAGACAGCTAGCCTTTTCATGTGTTCCACTTTCAATGGCCATGTCTCGCAGGCATAAAGGAGGACAGAGCAAACTGCTGATGTTCAGCACTCACCTTTTGATAGATAGCTGGATATCATGTCTGCGCCAGGCATGATGTGAGTTGGAAAATATCACATGCGCCTTTTGTATTCTTGCTGAGAATTCGTTGGCGATCAGTCAGTTATGGCTGATGCAACTTCCCAAATAAGTGACTGGCTGGTTTCAACGTAGAACTTTGCACAAATGTGCAGCAGTTGGAGTTGCCACACCGTATGTAGCACACATAGCAAGATGAGAGAGTAAGGACAGATTCAAAAGAGAGATAATAAACAGAGACATGAGTCAAAAAGAATAGTAATATGGAAAACTATAATTTTATTGGATATTATAAGTCACGAAGAGTAAATGGGATATTCAGCACGCCTATCTTTAGATTAGGAGTCGGCGTATGCAGTCCTATGACATGATCTTACATTTGGCAGGTGCGAATTGCATACCAAACATCCAAAGATGTTCAGAAGTCTCTGCATTTTAATCAGAATCTTCACTGAGGAGAACAATATCATCCTCACATTCTAAGTCAGCAAGACTTTCTTGTTAAGAAGTCAATCCCTAAGTCACTGAATTCAGTTAAGGTCAGTTCCATTAGTGCATCTATGATGGAACTAAACAAAAAATGGACATCCTTCACGGACACCACTGGTTTTCGTTACCTCAGATGACATCTCACCTTAAGCTGTTTCCTGGATGTGTGGGTTCAAGTAGAGTCCTGTGATTAATGCAATAAACTTTCTGGACACTTCACGACTAAAAATTACTAAAACACCTCTCAGTAGATAGAGTGAATTTCCACCTTCAGGTCAAGAAATTTGCCAAGTGTTAGACTCTGCTAAGTATGCCTACTTTCTTGAATCCGTCGAAGGGTGAAAATATGATCAATACACCCTCTTCCTGGTTTCACCGGTTTGTTTCTCCCAGGCATCATTATTCAGGTCAAAACTGTAAATAATATATCAGATAAGCTTATTACCCTACGATTATCACTGGAAAATTTACCTCTTTTCTTATAAACTGGAATAATCAATGATTTCCACCAGTCTAACTGAAGTGTTTCTAACGCCTAGACATTACCTGATAACTGAGTCATCCCAGACAAAAGTTTATCTAGTCTGTGAAATGTCATCTAGTAAAAATAAACTAAATTTCTGTCATATCGAGTGAAAGTTGCTGTATCTCGTTGGACTAGCTGTTCGTCTTTCAGCCAGGTTGTAGGTTTGAAGCTACCGCCGTCTGTCGAGTTTTAAGCATTCATATAGTACCTTTGGTCCATGTGATGATTGTTGGTATTTATCAAGTGTATGTACGTGCATTGGGTCGTTATGCAACACAGCACAGTATTAACGTCGTCTTACATTAAATGCTAGACTTCTGCCATCTATTCAAGTACATATATAGGGTTGGTACTGCCTAAGGAAATTCATATATTTCACTCGTTTGATGATATTACCCTCATACTAAGGGAAACCTTATCTTAGTCAGCATCACTCAGCTGATCCACGTACATCTTTCTTTCTTTTGTATCAAGTGATCAAATTCCACCAAGTAAAATAATCATTGACTGTCTTTTTGCTTCAATAGATTTATGAATACAAGTGTCCCTTGATTTTTAAAATAGGTAAGTGAATACATAATGACCACAGTATATAATATATATAACAGTGCCTAGGTAGCATATATATCTTTTTGATCTATTTTCCTTCACAGGTTTATGTTTACCCTCCTTCATCGAGACAAACTAATCCATCTTTAACCTATCAAAAAATTCTTACTGCTTTGCATAACTCAAAACTGCTTACGTCAAATCCACACGAAGCTTGTATCTTTATTCCTAGCTTGGATACTCTGGATAGAGATCCTTTAAGTCCACATTTTGGCCAGTATATTGCTCAGGAGCTAGTCAACCTTCCATATTGGAATTCTCTACCTAAAAATGACGTCAATCGTAAGTATTAGTTGTTTTTTTTAATGTTTTTGCACATGATGAGAAGTGTGTAACTAGTCACCTAAATAAGTAGTGAAAAAAAACCCAAAAATTTATTTTGAATAGTTTTTATGTGGTATAGATAAATTTCTGTCTACAGTGTAAGTAGTCAGTAGTCAGTCATTGTTCACTGTATGTCTAAATAAATCGAATTGATAGAACTTGGTGTTTGAAAGACAATAATATGGATAAACTAAAGAACGCGCTTAATGAATACACTGAGTATAATATCCTAACCGCCAAATATAAGATGATGTTACAGGACTGGACTACACTGACTCCTAGTTTAGAAATAGGGAGTGAAGTGGTAGAGCACGTTGACCGCCTCACTTATTTGGGAAGTACCATCACAGCCAGTGCCAACGGGTTGATCTCTGACGAAATCTCCGCACGGATACAGAGGGCTAGTTTTGCATATGCCAGTTTACGCCGTCTCTGGCTTAGTAGACGTGATATCCAGTTGGCTATCGACCAAAGGGTGTGTGTACTGCTCATCAGTCAGCTCCGTCCTCCTTTATGGCCATCGGTGAGACCTGGCTATTGAGAGTGGAAGACATGAAAAAGCTAGCTGTCTCCGATCATAGGTGCCTTCGCTCTATCTCCCGTGTGAAGTGGTATAACAAGATGAGCAATATTGAGGTCAGGCTTTGGTCGAGTGCTAGGTAGGTGGGAGATGAAATCAATCGACGAGGCCGTGAAATTACATTGACTGAAATGGTTAGGACATGTGTTACGAATGCCGATGCATCGCCTTCTTCGACCGACGGGTAATGTTAGCTGATATAGGATCAGAATGGTAAAGAGCTAGCGGCGGTCAAACCAAAACATGGCTTCACCAGTCAATGAAATCTACAACACTTAGTCTAAGCCAGCCACGTAGGAAGGTGTAGACTTCCTGGTTGGAGCCTTGGGACGGTGAAAATCAATGGTTGGAAGCAATTGGTGATATGGCTGAAAGTTATCGTTCTCAATGGCCCAGATGCATCTACTCCCTGCGACTAATGATTTCAAATGAATCTGTTTTGTTCTTCGTTATTACTATTCCTTTGTCTCACACCTCTGTTTACCGTCTCTATTATGCATTTCTTCTCTTGCTTTGTGTGCTACAAGGAGGGAGTGTGGCGACTTGAACTGGTGCACATCGGTGCAAAGTTCTATGTCGAAAAACAGACAAACAGAGACAGATACTAACCGAAAATAGTCATCTTGATAAGTTCATATAAACTATGTTCTTACGAGGCTACGGAAGCAGTGTGCTACATCTGCGTAAAACAACTCACTCTATGTGTCAATATACTTTAGAAGTGTACCTAGAGAAGCACTAATTTACAAGTTGAAGGAATCGATCTAGAGGACTGCATCGGTGGCACAGTGGTTAGGACTCTCGCCGATCATGCACATGGTCGGGGGTTCGATTCCCTGCCGACGCACACCCGATATCTATGGTCGGCCTGCGAATTTTGAGCTACCGATATCCATGCTGAAAATTCCATACTTGTACCAAAAATACAGTGTGGAGTCAAGCTCTAATCAAAATAAATAAAATAATGATAAATATCCGTTCTTTAAGTTGCAAGTGAAACATAGGGCTTCAGATACACATCTCCATTCTATTCGATTCTCTAATGTTTTCAGTCGTCTCTACGCCTACCTGCAAGCTTCTATATCCTTTTCACAAGATCTGCATTTCACCCTCACACCTACCTCTAACTCGTTGTTTCTTATTCAGAGAAAGTCTGACATATGATGTCACTCAACGGTCACTTTAGAGTGTATCCAACCTCTCTCTGTCTCCTCCTGCATATTTGTTGGGTGATAGGTTCTTGGTTGATCTGTTACCAAAGCTCCTTGTTACCCATCCTTTCTGGACGTTTGATCCTCGATTTTGAGCGAAGGCGGCTGTCGGAAATGCTTTTCGTGATGCACTCATCAATGTCTCTAAACCATAGAAAATAAGTGATTTGACATTAGTGTTAAAAATCTGAATCTTGTTCCTTATGTTGAATGCTGAAGACTCTCAATTTCAGAGTAATCAACACCTGTCTTGCTTTTCCGACCCAATCTTGACTGACTTTGATATTTTCATCCACGCAGCATCTATTTGGAATTATGCTGGGTGGGTAGGTAAGTGAAAAAGGAGAATTCTTTTAGATCCCTCCCACTGGTGCTTGTCGTCATTGGTTGGGTGCCTTCACTAACTCTGTCTTCTTTATGTCCACCTGGAGTCCTACCTTCCCTACCCCTTCTGGTTTTCGCTTGAAATTTTCCAGTTTTGGAGACATGGGACATTAATCATCTGTGAAATTCAGATATTCTGGGGTCTTTATATCAGTCCAGTATATGCATGTCTTCTCGCTCTCCACTCACTGTATGTCGCATGACCCAATCCGCCACTATCAAAAATGTCATCGGTAATTACAGGCAGCTTTGTCTTACACCTGTCCCTACTTCAAAGGCTTCCCACTGCAAATCACTCGATATGTGACATCATCGTATTGCTATTGAATCAAGTTTATAAATGTTCGCGATACTGCACTTCGTATTGTTGAAGCACTTTCCAAATTGCTTCGCATTTGAAGGCCTTTCCAAAGTCGATGAATATGAAGTAAAGAGTTGACTACTGCTATCCTAGACTCTGTTTGATGTTGGTGAGTAATGGTGCCATTTGATCTGTACATGACTTGTTTTTGTTTCCAAATTCAACCTATTCCGAACGATGTCATCTATCCAGGACATTTTTTAACACCGTTAAATTGCAACTTGTCTTTTCTGCATGCTTATTTGTGACACCGATCCTGAAAAATGAAATACCTATACCTGTCAGTTCAACTGCTCCGGTGGAACTATTTATGCCTACCTTTTCGTCCTCAGAAACACCAGTCTAATATTAACACACCTGGTTCGAACAGACTGTAATCATTTTCGATTGTCTATCCTGCTAAAACCTGTTTAGTATCGAATACATCAAACAGCCGCAAACATTGCAATTCACTTGGAATAGTCGCAACTATATATTTACAAACGAAACAAGTCCAGCTACTATTGCTACCCTAGGCTGCTGTGGAAACTAAAAACTGCTGAAGACTGCATTATGTCTTACCATTCTAGCTGTGACCTCTCATCATAAATTTATAAATTCCCCCAGCTCTTATTTTCTTGATAATAAGTCGCCATCCTTTCAATCGTACGCAGGCCATTGATGGATTTCCCTCTCCCTGAAGTAGGACAATAAGATTGCACCTCTTATTTGTCTGCAAACAATAGCTGTCATTTATTAAAATAGGTTGCACTGCATAAATTCATGATTCTGATGATTGCAGAGTGTTTGTTTTCCATAATATTATGAGGGTTGAAATTTTGTTTGATAGGATTCAGTGAGTTAAATGTTTGTTTTTTCAACACTTTATGCGCTTACAGGTTCGATAATGAGCTGATATCAGTTAGAGGATTATTAGAAAACCAGGAAGTATTACGCAGCCGTTTTGTCCTAGTTTGGGACTCATCACCGGTACGCGCCCACTGGAGTTCGAACCTTTGGTCTTCTGGTTACAAGGCCAGACTGTGGACCATTAAGACACTGGGACCCGATCCAACTACGCATGAATCCCAACTCCTACCAATTCGGGACTTGAGCGCGACCACTAACCAAATGCTGTCGGCGATTATTTTTCCTCACACTCGACTTCTAGTGAACTCCATTGATCACGACTCCTCACTATTTCATGAGCTAACTAAATTTGTTCTGTATTAGTTCTTTTTGGAAGTGATATATTCCTAGGGATAGTTTCCGAATATATTCTGAACATCGATACCTGTCCCATCTATTTAATAATTGATTTCGCATTGATTTCTCTTGTCTGAATAGTTAGTTAGCTTCTGTAGATCAATTATTTCAACCTGTTATCCTGTGAATTATCAGCCTTATCACGTTAATTAAATTATGTGTACCTTTATTGGATGTAGTGTTTGTTTTTTTCCAGAATAGTAGGGGGTTGGTTGTCATTTGGTTTTTCTCCTAAAGGGACTTCCTTATTGGCTTTCGTTTCCACACTGATTAAACATAAGCTCAACTGATGAAAAAAGCCTGAACTAAATAAATCCCTTGGTGTGAACACAGCTCAAAAGACCTAGAAACGGAGAGTTGGAGATCATAGGACCACTGTTCACTGTAACTATTAGTCATAATGACTATTTGTGACTTATGTAACAGCTGAGATGCCCAACGAATCGCCATTCATTATCACAGCGTTTTTTCCCAACCATGTTGTTTCACTTCATAGCTTAGATTTGTTTCCCCTGTTGGCTAAGTTAAACTTTAAGCACCACTGATGACTACCAATGGAGTGCAACCTCACCACTGACCTAGAATGCTCCAATGAGTTTTATTCACATGAGTTGAAGCTTAAAATCCTCTTGATCCGAGTCAAATGCCTGCTCTAACGCAGCTGCGTTTACTGATGAGGCTAATATTTCGTGGGAACATTTTTTGCCAGTTCCCACTTGTCCTTAACCCAGATTTTGTATATTTGTAATTAGTCAGCCTATGAGCTGTACAGCTGCTGAAACTGAAAACAGTATTGTATCAAAAGTTCAGTGGTACCAGCACTTCAGAGATATCACATCCTAGAGAATGGCGAGGCTTACTTCCTTATTGGGAGGAAGAGGTGTCGTTGTACATGTGGATGAAACTGTCTTATTAAAGAAAAAATACAACTGTGGTCGAGAACTGGAGAATAATTTTTGGGTGATTGTTTTATATTATACCTCTCTACGGAAAGGATTCGTCCAGAGGATAGCAAATACAAAGTCAAGTAATTTAATACCTATTATTACCCGACTGGTGAAACAAGGATTTATAATACGCAGATGAGTTGAAAGGTTATACCTCCTTGTCATCCCCTGAATGCACCTACCACAGAGTCAACTATTCTAATGATTTTGTGGATCCTATTACAGGGTCTCACACCAGTTCGATCGAAGGATTTTAGGGAAGGTTAAAAAAACAGGGTGCCTCCGTGGCGCAATGGGTTAGCGCGTTCGGCTGTTAACCGAAGGTTGGTGGTTCGAGCCCACCCGGGGGCACTAGGGATTTTGGTCCACCGAGGAAGAGGGCTCTCGAGTGGTTGCGCCACAGGTTGATCCTGCATGCCGTTCTCGTCTCGCAAGAGGCAAGGATGCGCGTGTTTGGTTCTCCTGAAAACCAATGCCCAGTCAATGGGTGTATCGTGGTGTGAATAGTGCGTCGGTGGCATAGCGGTTAGGACGCTCGCCGACCATGCACATGGTCCGGAGTTCGATACCCGGCCAACTCACTCCTTTACCTCGCTGAGCCAGAAATAAAAGCTGGCGAAAGGGAAGAGGTTGGGTATGAGGCTAGCAACCTCACTCTGTAAAAAAATAAACACTGCTACAGAAACGTCAAGCTTCTAGCTTGAGGCCCTATGTTCCACTGGGAACGTGGAGGAATAAAAAAAAACAGGATTAGAGCCATTAATTGTGCGTCGGTGGCACAGCGGTTAAGACGCTCGCCGACCATGCATATGGTCCGGGGTTCGAGCCCTGGCCGGCGCACACCTTTACCTCGCTAAGCCAGTAGTGAGACTGGTAAGTAGGAAAGGTTGGGCATGAGGTTAGCAGCCCCATCCTGTAAAAAATCAACACTGCTACGTAATCTTCAAGCCTATAGCTTGGAGCCCTATGTCCCACTGGGAACGTGAAGGAAAAAAAGAGCCATTAATGGTTCGCGAAAGCGATGTCATTTATAATCATTTAGATGAATATATCAATCTGATGTGGTATAACTTTTCCATTGATACTCCTGTGCTAAACTGGGAGATGTTTTTATCACTATATGAGAGAAAGGTATCCTCTGTAGCACTTATACAGTTTTTATGCATTTTTTTCTTCATAAACAAGTGTATTCCAAACCCAAAAATGCCCCCTTCGTGTGGGTGGCGCGTTCAAGGTCATTCGCTGATTGGTAGTTGGTGGTGCTTAAAGTTTAACTTTACCTCCCCCGGTTTTTGTCGTTTCTTTCTCTGTGTTGTTAGTATGACTGGCGTACATCATTATATTTGGTTAGCCAGTTGAGTTAAAAATCTTTTATTCCTATTTTTTATCGATTGAAAACTGTGAACCAGCTACTTTATTTAAGAGACTAAGCTCAAGGAAAATAAGCGCCGATTAAATTAGAGAGAAAACTTAATTCAATTCTAGGTCTCCTGTTAAATTCATTCATCATGAGTGTCTCTTTTTAAATATGTGAATGGGTCGTGTTAACTGAAATCGGAAAATGTTAGTTCTGATTCAAATTGGGAACGTCAGGGGAATATGATTCGTGTGGAAATGAAGAATACTGCGAAAAGTGTTGAATGCAGTAAATTATATAAGCGTTGGAGAATTGTTTCATGCCCATTGACTTCTAAGTAATTCCTAAGTGATATTAATTTGTCACCAAAACTATTTCCACATAAATCACCAATCTGAATAACTTGACGGAATAGTAGCATTCATATGTAAGCAGCTTCTGTTCACCACGCTGAGCCTAGTACTTTGAGGCAATTTATGTATTTTCTTGTTGTTGATTTCTTTTTCTCATTTAATTCTTTTTTTCCTCTTCAAAAGCTGACTCCTTCTCTGGAACTGCTGGACAGCCCTCCGAATACGCTGGTCGTAATCACTTAATATTCAATTTACATGCTGGCACATGGCCATATTATCACGAAGACGAGTATCGTTTATGGTTAGGTCAAGCAATACTGGCTAAAGCTAGTTTCTCCACGAAACATTTTCGTCCAAACTTTGATATTTCTTTACCACTTATCCATCCTCAACATCCTACAAGATCTGGAGTGAAACACTTGCAGCATTTAGTGACCAGTGAACATTTACGTGGTCGTCTTGATCTGCCGTATCTTTTAAGTTTTAAGGTAATTTTGAAGTGAGAATACAGTAATGCATTATATCATGTTTTTTTGTAGTAGAACTTAAGAATAGGTCATCTTATAAGGTTAGCTGATCGACTAATTTCTCGGTGTGGACATTTAAGCGCTGCTTCGGATGTTTATATTGTCGAATGTAGTTACACGTTCAAACAAGATTTTTCTGTTATAATTCACTTGAAATCTGTTAAAATTTCTTCAGCCTTATTAGTGACTTTATGGTGTGCATGTGTATGATACGTCGCAGATGGTTCCTACAATTGTGCAATGTTAAGCACACTACATAATTACAGTAGTGCACTCCAATAAGTATATATATAGAAAATTAAAACAGGTGATTCAGCGAAGAGACTTTTTTCAATGGATTTATCATCAAGCTGTACAATCGTACATATATGGTTTATAAGAAGTTATGTCCGGTGAGGCAATTGAGTCATAGCTGTGAATGCATAAAATAATAGTATGAAATGCAATTAAAAACTAAGATGTTTGTGATTACAGTCATAGTTAAATGTCAAGTGGCAAAGCAAATTAATGTCATATATAGAATAATTCATAGCAGGGATAGAACGTGTAAAAGGATGTGCAATTATAGGAGTAGTAGACAAATCGAATAAAATAAAAACGTTACGTAACAGTGTGTAAAATTTGATAGCATAGAATTTAACGTTGTAAAGAAAAAATTCATTTAGAATGACAAGTGGAACAAGTGAAATAATACCGGGGACAGTTCAAAGGACCACAAATTGAATAGACAAAATGAAAAAATGAAAATTTGGTAGAGCTAAAATATGATTGGGGATTACCATACTTTAGCATAGAGGGATTAAGACCATGAAAGTTGGAGGGGTTGAACGAACTTTTTCTGTACACAGAGATCTGACTTTTCCGTTTCGGTACCCAAAGCTTCAGCAATACACATAAGTCAGGTACGTAGTGATTTCGGTAAAAGTGAATGCTTTAAAGTCATCTGCAAGACAAAAAGTAATTTACCCAAATCACAACAAAAGCATAAATTCTGAGGGGATGGAATTCAGACTCAAACCGGGAAACGCCAATGGATTAGCAGTCTATCGCCTTAATCACTCGGCCACACTGTTCATATACATTTTTATAATCATTGTTTCTTTGAGTTCCGAGTGAAACACAGGGCTTCAACAGGACATCTCCATGTTGTCCTGTTCTCTACAATCATATTCAGCTGACGCTATGACTGCCCATAAGCTTTCATCTTCCCCTCACACGATTTTTTCCCTATTACACTTGGACACACGCCAAACTCGTTTTTTTCATTCGGATTCCACTGGCGGACGACGCCACTCGACGGTTTCCTTAGCGTGTGTCCTATCCATCTCCATTTTCTCCTAGATATTTGTTGAACGATAGGTTCTTGGTTAGTTCGTTCCCCGTAGTTCGCTGTTGCTAATTCTTTCTGACTATTTGATCTCCAGCGTAGAGCGAAGGCAGCTGTTGGTAAAAGTCTGGAACTGACTGTCGGGAATGTCTTTCTTGACGCACTGGCCAAGCGTCTGACTCATATACAGGAAGTGACTTCACATTTGTGTTAAAAATCCGAGTCTTTTTTTCTTTTTTTTTGAGTGCATCTGTCTGTCTGTGCTTCGGTGGGACAGTGCTTAGAACTCTTACCGACCATGCATATGGTCTGGGGTTCGATCCCCTGCCGACGCACACCTGATATCAATGGTCGGCCTGCGAAATTTGGGCTACCGATATCCATGCTGAAAATTCCATACTTGTACTAAAAATACAGTGTGGAATCAGGCTGTAATCAAATATATATAATTTCAGATTTATTAATACCGCATTAATCTATTCTAAATGAGTCAGAAACTTTACACATTACGAAAAGCATTTCCAACAGATTACTACAAACATGTATCAACAGCTGCATTCGCTCCATATGGAAGATCATATGGCCAGAGAGAATGAGCAATAAAGCACTCTTAGGACTAACCAACTAACAACCTATTGCTCAGCAAATATGCCGTAGCAAATGGAGGTAGGCTGGACATACTCTGAGTAGACCGTTGGGTAACAGTGTACACCAGGCCCTCGAGTGGAAAATGACTGAGAAACGACGAGTTGGACGTTAGAGGGTGTGCCATAGTGGAGATCATTTGGGGGGGGGGTTGAGGATGAAGGCTTGTAGACAATTGTGCGACCAGCTAAAGAGGACTGCAGAAAATAGAGCTGAATGAAAATGTGTTGCTGAATTCCTATTTATTCCTCTAGGAACCCACGTGGTTCAAGTCAACACTCAACAGCTTTTTGGATTGATGCCAGGTTTTGATTTGACCACCCTTAACTCTCATTTATTACGTATAAGGAGGTTACTAGTTGGTTATATAACATGAGGTTCTTCAAAATTGCAGATGCACCTTGCTAGCGAGTGCCAAACAAGCACGAAACCTAGGTTGAAGACATCCTGCCAATTGCCCTTAACAATCTAACAATGTATTTAAGAATATTTCGGCTACTGAAATGTCCGACATTATTTCTTTTGAATCATGAGAATATGAAATTTCTTCTGAACCTTCTGCTTTTTTTTTCTAGCGAATTCACGAATTCAACATTTATTCTATAACCTTCCGATGTACAAGTCTCTTTGTTTCACTTTTACATCGTATAGTATGGCACAACTGTCCGGTTCTTTTTTCCAAAAAAAACCTTGACAATCAAAAACTGCTTCACCAGTAACTTTTTTTACGATCTAGACTAGGATCATTTGGTTCACTAATAGTTACATTAATCTCCGTTCTGTGGAGATGATGTAGCTCATGAACCCAAGTGCCTAGACGTTCAGGCAATCATCGGTCTGTGTAATCTCCTCGTACTTTCATTTCTTGAGCATCAAGTGTGTCTCATAGCACTGATCAAGGGACTCTACTCGAACTCATGCAGCCAGATGAGGGCTTATGGCGAGCTGTCATCTGAACTAGTGACGACTAGTGATGTCCGTCAAGGATGCCCATTATCCCCTTTTCTATTCAACTTCATCATAGATGTGTTAATGGACTTAACCCTAAGTGACTTCAGCAACTCACGGATTGACTTGCTACCAGGCTATGAATAATCTCGTTGACTTGGAATATGCAGACGATATAGTCCTACTAGGCGACGACGCTGACAAAATGCAGAGTCTTCTGAACACCTTGAGCTGCAATCTACGAATGTTTGGCATGCGATTCACTCCCGCCAAATGCAAGATGATGTTACAGGACTGGACTGCAGCGATTGCTAGATTAGAAATAGGGAATGAAGTGGTAAAGCGTGTTGACCACTTCACCTATTTGGGAAGTTGTATCAGCCAGTCCTAACGGGTTGATCTCTGACGAAATCTCATCACGGATACAGAGGGTTAGTTTCCCATATCCCGGTTTACGCCGTCTCTGGCGTAGACGTGATATCCGGCTGGGTATCGACCAAAGGACGGGTGTATTGCTCATCAGTCGGCTCCGTCCTACTTTATGGCTGTGAGACCTGGCCACTCAGAGTGACATGAAAAAACTGGCTAACTATCTTTGATCATAGGTGCCTGCGTTCTATCTCCCGTGTGAAGTGGTATAATAAGGTGAGCAATGTTGATGTCAAACTTCGGTCGAGTGCTAGGTAAGGAGGAAAAATCAATTGATGAGGCCGTGAAGCTACATCGACTGAGATGGTTAGGACATGTGTTATGTATGCCTAGTCATTGCCTTCCTCGACCGACGGGCAGTGTTAGCTGACATAGGGTCAGACTGGAAAACAGCTAGAGGCGGTCAAACCAAAACATGGCACCAGTCGATAAAATCCACAACAGTTAGTTTAAGCCAGCCACGTAGGAAGGTGTAGACTGGCTTCCTGGTTGGGGTCGTTGGGACGGTAAAAACCAGTGGTTGGAAACAATTGGTGATATGGCTCGAAGTTATCGTTCTCGACGGCTGGCACAGATGCATCCACTCCTTGTGACTTATGATTTCCAATGAAACTCTGTTGTTCTTCGTTATTACTATTCCTCTGTCTCACACCTCTGTTTACTGTCTCTATTTTGCATTTCTTCTACTTTCTTCTGTTGCTTTGTGTGCTACAAGAAGGGAGTGTGGCGATACGTGTGTTTCTTCTGATGCAATATATTCCTTTCTAACAGGCACCGACTTTTCTGTTCTAACTACATTTTATGCTTATGATTTGAAAAATTACTTGATATCTTATCATGGATTAACTTATGACAGGCATCATTATATAACCTTGAATAAAACAAAAAAAGTTAAACATAGCATATTTATTTTTTCCAGGGTAAACGTTATGTTAGCGGAATAGGATCAGCTTCACGTGATATACTTTTTCACTTGCATAATGGAAAAGATATAATTATGTTGACTACTTGTCGTCATGGTACAGATTGGATACGATATGCTGATAAACGATGTGCCACTGATATGGCACTATACGACACGTAGGTTGTATTTTTGACTTTCTTTTATTATTATTGTTGTTGTGCGTGCACCGCTGTTTTCATACTTCTGTTGATAATCAAACTAAGCTGTACTTCAGTTCTGTCTTGGTGTGTTGAGCCTACATATACATATTAAGTTCAATGCTAAAATTTAGTGCTTCTGTCCCCTTCAGAAACAAACCTCGATTGATGAAACATCGGATTATCAGTATGATTTTGTTACCAGTTGTTATAACGGAGTGTTAGTGATTTGTTGGTTGCTTTCCTAACTTGATTACATTGCACCTCCAGACGTGACACTATAACTAATTGATCACTTGAAAATATTCCCCACACAGAGGTAGACACAGAAGTCAGGTTTAACTGCAACAACCATGATAACTATAACTTTTATTCTTTACAATACAGAGTATATAAAAATATAATCTACACATGAACGGAAATTTTAAACCATAAGTGCATAATCAATATCTGATTGATTGCATGACCCTGAAGATCCTCCAAGGTAAATCAATTCAGAGTTGTCCAATCAGGTCATTATGTCAATGCATGCATCGATCATTACTTTACGTCTAACAAAGGTAGTTAGTCCGTCCTAAGACCGCCCCTTTTTAATAGATTTTCGACGAAGGTGGGGCCATTAGAAGATATTTTTAGGTCTATGTAAAGGGATAATAAGTTAGTTGGGATGTCGTTGTGGCCTAGGTTTTATTTGGCCATTTATAGAAACAGCTCTAATCATTAATGGTATCTCAACTTAGTATTTTAAGCGTTTGGATTAGACTCACTGTAGATTTCGTCACGAACCAACATCAGTTGGAGAATCATTAAAGATCATTGAGCGCTCGTTAGTTGTTTCACCCTGGTTTTCAGCTCTTCATCAGCACTCACCCACAACCCCACCAGGTTTCGAACCCGGAACCTTCAGGTTACAAGGTCAGCTCGTTAACTATTCAGCTACTTGGTTAGGAGTTCATTTTCCCGTGGGTTGTAACTGTCAATCTGTAATGTAACGACATCTCCAACCAATGGCATTGGTGAACATTTATTCCACTTTCATATGGTGAACCCCACTCCCCACAAATTCAGACTAAAAGGGCAAGATGTATTCTTCTAGGGAATAGGCAGGTGACTAGATAACTGCCATTTTCATCAAACTGAGCATTTCTAATTCAACAGCCATATTCTTAGCTTTGGATTATCATTATCCTCTATGTTCCAAGTAGAACATAGAGCTTAAACAAAACATCCCAAAATTGCTCTGTTCCATGCAGTTACGATCGCCCATAAGCTTTCAGCTCCTCACACAACCTCTTCTGTGTCACCTGCGTACTCACACCCAACTCCTCTCTCCGCATTCAAGGTGGTGACGCATGATTTCACTCAACAATTTCCTCAGTGTGTGCCCATTCTATCTTCGTTTCCTGCTACATATTTATTGGGTGGTAGGATCTTGTCGCTAATCCTTCCTGGTCACTTGATCTTCAGTATAGAACGAAGGCAGCCGTTAATAAAAGCATGTGGTAGCCTGTTGGAAATGCTCTTGTTGACCTGAGCATCCAGTTTCTGATTCGTATAGAAGAACTGACTTAACATTGGTGTTAAAAATCCGATTTTTTTTCATCTTGCTGAGCGCAGTAAATTTCCGAACTGATTTCAGAATGATAAAGGTCTCCCTTGTCCTTCTGATCCTGGTTTTGATATCCTCATCTGTACCGTCTGTAGTTGAGACGATGCTACCCAAATAAGTGAAAGAAGTGACCTCTTTCAAATTTATCTCATCGACAGTGATTGGGGCCTGTTGGTGTTATTGTCGGTTAGTTATCTTCGTCTCCTGTCTTGTGTATGTTTACTAGAAGTCTTGCCTTGTCTACCACTTCTACAAGCTTGTTGGTTTTCTCTTGTAAATCTTCCAATTTGTGAGACATGAGACATTAATTATTTGTAAAATCCATACATTTTAGTGTCTTTTTTCAGCCCAATATATGCATGTCTTCGCATCTCCCTCAGGCTGTCTCGTGACACAGTCGACTACGATGAAGAATCTCATAAGTTATAGCAAGAAGTTTTGTCTTACACCTGTCTTTACTTCAAACCCTTCTCTGAAGTTCCCTTTGTGAATCACTTAACATGTGAGATCATCATATGGCTGTTAAACGACGTTTATAAATGTTCGCGGTACTCCACTCTGTATTGTTGAAACGGTTTCCGAATCATTTCATGATCAACGCTGTAGAAGGCCTTTTCAGAGTCGCCGAAGTTGAGACAGAGATTTGACTACCGTCACATGCTCCGTCCAATAATGATGCGTAGCGTTGGGATTCTGTCTGCGCATGATTTACTTCTCCTAGATTCAGCTTGTTTCGGACGGATTTCTGCTGTTGGAGCATCATTTAGTTTCTCCAGGATGAGACGACGTAATATTTTGCTTGATTTGGATTTGAACTTGATTCCTTACCAGTGTGTTGAAAGCAGGCTGCTAGCCAATTGGTAGACATTAATCTACGTCAATGTCTAGGTCACTAATATTGACCGTGAGAAAATATGAACAAGGCTGATTCAACAACCGATCACAGCAGACTTAACGTGGGCAGATATGATTTGCAGATAGATGGCCTCACTTTACGAGAAACCTGAAAATAACCAATCAGAAGACTGTGTTTGTCTGCTTGAATAAGCTATAATAATGTACAGGAAATATATATAAATACTTGCTGATTCCCGTAATAAAACAATCTGTTGCCGGCCCTTGTCTTCTGTTGTTACAATTGGTGTCGCTGCCTCCAAAAAATGAAGATCCCATGGCCAACTGCATTTGAAGAAGGAGACATACGGAGTGTAGTGTGACAAAGTAACTTTTTTCCATCAGTAGGTACCTTTCTTTCCCTCCAAACTTTTTGCAGTAGTGACATTAACACATACATCGCAGTCTGTGAATCTGTTTTCAGTGCTCCAAGGAGAGCTTTATCTAGTGCTGCTGTCCTCTAGGCTTTCAGCAGCTTGACTGCATTCCTAACCTCTGTTTTTCTCAGAGGATTGGTATCCACTGCCAATTCTGTCTTCGTTATTGGTATATTTGTACAAGTTGCAGGTAGTGGTCTGTTCAGTAGTAATCCTTTTGATTGATCAACCCACTGTTTCCCATGTTTCCCCTCCTAAGTAATTAGGTTTCTTTCACTATCTTGTTGTTTTCACCTGTGTCGATCTTCTCCTGGAAAGCGATCTGGATTTTATCCATTGATTCGGCATGGTTCACAGCTCGCTATTGCAAAATTATCTTACCATCATCTCTATTTTGTTGCGAAATTCTTCTCTTCACTTCTTTTTACTGTTTCAATGTGTATGTTCGGATGGGGTTCTTTTTTGTCTTATTGATTTAAGTTTTAAGTCATATCCTTCGTGAAGCAGCAACTTTTTCAGTCAATAATTTTGATGAAATCAAAAAATGCTGCTCTTCTGCAAATTGGCAGATTAATTTGAATGAATTACATGAAAATTAAGTATATGATCTTTATCCCTAAAAGAAATACTCTTCATTTATCAAAAACTGATGTTTTTTCGGTCAGTGGGTATGCTTAAATTTTCCTTGTAGGTATGATTATTGGGAATTGATGTATAATTCAACATTTTGTCTTGTTCCGCGTGGACGCCGGCTTGGATCTTATAGGTGAGATTTATTGTTATGAAACTTTGTTTTAGAAATAAAAATGTTATTCTAATTGATATGGAGTACTTCATCATATTAAACATATGCATTTTTTCATTAGAATGTTTTTTAACATAGGGGCCTATTAAATTGGATTGATAATAATAACAATAGTTTTATTTTGCATAGTGTTTAAATAATGTACACAATTTTCAGCGGAGTATGTTGCATGATATTTTCAATTCATACAGGATCTTCAGTTAAAATTGTAGTAGATCCTGGGGCACAATACTGTTCTGACCTTAGGCGTAAACCAACGCATTATGCTATTTCTTCATTGCCTCCGTAGAGGAATGCAGGACACTTGGTTGGATGCCAATTGTAAAAAGTTCATGAGTACATTTTGAGACATAAGGACATAAGGCAGGAACAGTTACCTCATTTATTAGGATCCTTTGATCCACCCCCCTCCCATAATTATGTTTCTTCTCGAGTTTAGTAGAAACTGGTGAATTAGCAGTTTATAAACACTTTCAATTCTCGCGAGAGTAGATAATACCACTATAGGTCATATTTTGATAGATTAAAACAAAGTGAACAGGAAAAATTATATGCATTTTATTTATTTATTTATTTTATTATAGCTTGATTCCACACATTATTTTGGTACAAAAACGGAATTTTTTCAACATGTGATAGCGGTAGCCCAAATATAGGAGGCCGACCATTAATATCAGGTGTGCGTCGGCCGGGGGGCTTTTATTACCACAGTTTTTAAGCAGGCCGCCGCAAAGAACAGTATGGATATTATATTATGTGAATTAAGCATTAGCACTTCGTATTTCATCGGACTTTTAAGTTGACTGCTTATTACTGAATGGAATACTTTGTTTTAACAAGATGCTCTAACCCTATTAATTTGTTTATTAAGTGAATCACACCGTAAAATACTTCTATTTACTGGATGCCTTTGTCTGTCTGTCTGTTTTCGACATAGAACTTTACACCGATGTGCACTAGTTCAAGTCGCCACACTCCCTCCTTGTAGCACACAAAGCAAGAGAAGAAAGTAGAAGAAAGGCATAATAGAGACAGTAAACAGTGGTGTGAGACAAAGGATAGTAATAACGAAGAACCATGTAGTTTCATTGGAAATCATAAGTCACAAGGAATGGATGCATCTCCGCCATTGAGAACGATAACTTTGAGCCATATCACCAACAGTTTCCAACCATTGGTCTTTACCGTCCCGAGGACTTCAACCAGGAAGCCAGTCTACACCTTCCTATGTGGCTGGCTTGAACTAACTGTTGTGGATTTCATTGACTGGTGAAGCCATGTTTTGGTTTGACGGCCACTAGCTCTTTTCCAAGCTGACCCTATGTCAGCTAACATTGCCCGTCTATCGAGGAAGGCGATGATTAGCAATGCATTCGTAACACATGTCCTACCCATCTCAGTCGATGTAGCTTCACAGCCTCGTCGATTGATTTCCCTCCTTACCTAGAACTTGATCGACACCTAACCTCAATGTTGCTCACCTTATTATACCACTTCACACGGGAGATGTAGCGCAGGCACCTGTGATCACAGACAGCTAATCTTTTCATGTCTTCCACTCTCAATAGCCAGGTCTCAGCGATGGCCATAAAGGAGGACGGAGCGGACTGATGAGCAGTACACACGCCCTTTGGTCGATAGCCAACTGGATATCACATCTACGCCAGAGACGGCGTAAACTGGGATATACGAAACTATCCCTCTGTATCCGTGCTGAGATTTCGCCAGAGATCAAACCGTTGGGACTGGCTGATGGTACTTCCCAAATAAGTGAAGTGGTCAACACGCTTTACCACTTCACTCCCTATTTCTAATCTAGGATTCAGTGTGGTCCAGTCCTGTAACATCATCTTGCATTTGGCGGGAGCGAATCGCATGCCAAACATGTCAATCGTAGATTGCAGCTCAAGGTGTTCAGAAGACTCTGCATTTTGTCAGCGTCGTTGCCTAGAAGGACTATATCGTCTGCATATTCTAAGTCAACGAGATTATTCATAGCCTGGTAGCAAGTCAATCCTTGAATATCTGAAGTGAGTTAGGGTTAAGTCCATTAGTACATCTATGATGAAATTGAATAGAAATGGGGATAGTGGTCATCCTCGACGGACACCACTAGTCGTCACCAGTTCAGATGACAACTCGCCGTAAGCCCTCATATCTGGCTGCATGAGTTCGAGTAGAGTGCCTTAATCAGTTCGATGTATTTTCCGGCATTCCCTTTACAGCCATCATCGCCAGGGAACCACTCGGTTAACAGAATCGAATGCCGCCTTTTAGATCAAGGAATATAAGGATTGTTGGACGCCGGTAGGAATGCTTATGTTCTAGAATCTGTCGGAGGGTGAAGATATGATCAATACACCCTCGTCCACAGTGTCCAAGTTTTAAACATATGCTAATATGCTTAATCCCTCATAGCCAAATAGTAATTCCTATCAGACTGTTGTTGTGGGAAATTTTTCTCTGTTAACAGAATACATGGCTTTTATGATTTGTTGTTGTATTTACTTCTGTGTATGGCTTACTTGTTCATCTAAGATTTCTAGAGGTTCTTCAAGCTGGTTGTATTCCGGTAATGTTGAGCAATGATTTAGAACTCCCATTCTCTGAAGTGATTGATTGGAATCGTGCTGTTATTTGGGCGGATGAACGGTTACCATTGTTGCTTCCACTGAATCTACGACGTATTACATCTCATCAAATTATTCAATATAGACAACAAGTAATGTTCCTTTGGCACACTTACCTATCTTCAATTGAATCGATTGTGCTTACAACACTCGAGGTATGTCTTCTGTTAAACTTCCATAGTGCTTATAAATATACACTTGTTTAAATATATCATATCTATATTCTGGACAATTAATTACAACTTCGCCCTTGATCTTCAAGTAATATACTAACTGACAGTCTATCACATGATGCAAAAGGGTGAGGATATACGCTATCGCAAATCAAACTTGCCGCACTTTCATTTCAGTATAACTGTATGGGTAGGATAGAGAGGTGTTCAATTACTGTTTGAATTTCCACAAGTAGTTTATTTTGTATCATGGGCCCGGAGGAATGCTGTAATCATATCAGGTGTTACATTTGACTGTTTTAAAGATATTCTATCAACCTTTTTGCGCAACTAGAATATTTGTTGTGATGTTTGCTATACTATGCGTGAAAAAATCTTGCAATGGTCTTTATCCTCACTCATAAGTAGGTTTAGAGCCAATGAAAGATGCACACGAGTATGCTTTGGTACCGAAAGACATTATGGAACGATTAAAACAATACGAAATAGATAAATTGTGATCGATTATGCTGCATGGGAATTCAGGTAGCCAATTTATTTAAGCGGGTCACCATTAACACATAAATAGTACATGAATGCTTCGCTACTCCGGGTTGCCACCGACAATTATACATCTCATCCAAAAGTTGTACGACAATGCTGCATGCCAAATAATCCACAACGGGAAACTTACCGAATCCTTCGAAGTGAGGACGGGAGTGAGGCAAGGCTGCCTACTATCGCCAATGATCTTCCTGATTGCAGTAGATTGGATAATGAGACAGACAGCGGGCAGCGAGGAAACAGGCACTAAATGGACTCACACAAAAACTTGGAGAATCTGGAGTTCGCCGATGATATATGTCTGATTTCCCCCAAATTGGAAGATATCCAAGTGAAAAGCAACAACTTGGCAGAAAAAGCATCAAAGATACGACTTCAGGTGAACATAGATAAACCAGAGGTGATGAAGATTCCTGGTCAACACTAACAGCAAGAACAACAGACAACAATCAGCATAAATGGGAGGAGCCTGAAAGAAACAACCTCCTTTACCTACCTGGGAAGCATCGTTTCCACTACAGGTGGACAGAACCGACGAGGATATCGCAGCGAGGATCGGAAAAGCAAGACAAGCTTTCATTACTCTCAAGTGTCTGTGTGGAGGTCAACAGCATGAAAATGAAAATAAGATCCGGATTTTCAATTCCAATGTGAAATCAGTCAGTGCTACTATACGGGTCAGAGACTTGCACTACGAGTCATAAAGAGCATCTCAAACCAACTCCAGAACTTCATTAACAGTTGTCTTCGCTCAATACTCAAGATAAGATGGCCGGCCAGAAAAGATCAGCAATAAGGATCTCTGGGAGCAAACCAACCAGGAACCGATTGTGAAACAATTAGGCAGGAAGAAATGGAGATGAATTGACCGTACTTTGAGGAAACCATCAAGTGACATCACTAGACAAGCCATTGCTCGAGTGGAACCCGAAAGGGAAGCGGTGAGTTGGTAGTCGGTGCAAGGGTGACTTGGAGGAGTTCATGTGAAGAGGAGAGGAAAGCGTGTAGGCAGACTTGTAACCAGGTGAAAACTTTAGCAGAGAACCGAACGCACTGGAGACGCGCAGCTGAAACCCTTTGTTCCTCTAGGAATTAAAGGAAACAATAATAAGAATAAGTACATGAATGATGAACACTGTTTTATACTGCACATTGTTTGTTAACTCTGGTGTCATCCTCATTTAATAATCCTGAATATTTTGATTGAACACTAGGTAGTAAATTATGTCATACATCTAGTCCTTTGTTTGGTCCATGCTTAATCGTATCAGCCAAGTTGGAGAACCGTCTAGCATTGTAGACACGTTGTGACCTTGACCGACAGAGTTCAGTCTGAACCAAACGAAGGATTTGGCGTATGACACTAGTTACTGTCTAGTGTCCGATCAAAGTGTCCATTACAGTCCTACAGGAAGTAGATTCCGAGCCCGAATAGCTCAGTGGTAACGTCTCTGAAAGCAGCACTGGGTGAACCGGGTTCACATCTCAGAAAGGAAATTAGTTTCCTTAGGATTACAGATGCACTTTGTTGACGAGTGCCAACGAGCACGAAACCTAGGTCCAAGACTTCCCACTGATTGCCTTCACTCATCTAATCCTGAATATTAAGACTACGTAGTTATAATGTAGGACTTGGATGTTTCTTATTTATTATTATTATTTATTTAAACGCATAAAAACATGGTACAGTATGGCGCCAAGAAGGATGTGCCACACAGTAATAATAAAACAACATAGATCAAAAAAAAGAAAGAAGAGAAAAAATATGTAAGTAGGGAACGGATAAAGAACTTCATCTGGAAGGAAAACAGTCATGCTTAACAAGTTCGAACAGTATTCGTTAACTATCATCGGGAAGGGAAGAAAGAAGGAAATTGCAACACGTGTAATAGCACGCGATGTTTCATTGATTGTTTGTTGTTATAAGAATAAAACTTGTGCACTGTGGTAGAGTATAATTCCATTATGGGTAAATTTTTGTTTTGATAAAGTCTTACAGTGTTATACAGTAATGTTTACTGATGACGTTTTGAGCACAATTTATTGCTCATAATCATATCAAGGTATTTACACGACCTCCTAACTTCATTTCTATAGTTCCATTATTTTTCACTTGATTTGATTGGCAGTAGTATTTTCCATATTTCCGATATGAGTGATGACTCATTCCTATTGCATGTGTTTGGTGTAGACTCAATGAACAAGGATTCCGTAATCAACCTCTCTCTCCACCTATCTAGATTACTTTCTAGAATTTTAACCCTCTCCCACCCTATTGTGTGGTTGTGTGTTAATGCATGCAGTGCATTTGCTGAGCTTTTTTCCAAATTACTTATCTTCTCAGGGTCAACCATTCTTACCTTAGCTAAATTCTTATGTTCCGACAGTCTGACTACCCCTGACCTACTAGTTTGACCTATGTAGTTGACCTCACAGTCATTGCATGGTATTTTGTAAATTATATTATTTTGTTTAATTGGTTCAACTGGGTCCTATAACCTACAGAGCTTGTCGCTGAGTGAGTTTGTAGGTGTGAATGCCACCCTAATTCCTGCTTTATTTAGAATCCTACGTAGGGTTTCAGATGTCCCCTCTTTATATGGTATAACTTTAGATGCCTTATATTCTCTCTTATTTATGTTATTATTAACAGTTTCACAATTATTTTTATTTTTCGTTTGGCCTTTGATGATCTTCCTAATGAATTTTAAAGGATAGTTATTTAACACCAAAGCCTCTTCTGTCCTACGGAAACATTATCTACTAGGTCACTTGGACTACAGGAGCCACCTCTTATGTAACTGGTACCCCTTATTATTTCTTCCTTAAGTCAACTTTATTTTTCCCCTTGATTTATTGGACCGGAATGTCCTACCTCTGTTGAAATGTCGGTTCTGATTACGAACGCCTCGACGATTTCTGAGGACTAACATGATATTCTTTGGTGGGTAGTGAACTAGCATTAGAATCCAGAATGAGCATTTCGTCATAATTGGGACTCATCACTGAAAATTTTGGTCCAGTCAATCAATGTGAGAAATAAAATCGCCTTAAATACGTGAAATCCGGTATGATTCTTGAATGCAAGTTTTCTGTTTACTGTCTACTTTGTATAACACCTCCAAAGATAATATTTTGGGCGGAAACTAGTAATGGGCTAACTTCCTTTTGATGGGTGTAACCATGTTTATTTGCATATCACAACGTTCATTTTCAGCCTTTTAAAACTTCTTATCGAAGTATAAGAAATGAACTGCATAGGTAACATATTACTCTTGTAGGTTTCACAGGTTTAAAGCCACAAAAAAATATGAAATAATGACAAGTTATATTGGGTTCCACAGATTTCAACAATGCATTCATCTACTGTTGTATTTCTGTTATCAAATTCATATATAGTTGTCTATGTACAAATGTTCACTATTGTCCATTATTATCCTATTTTTTAGATTTTACGTGATAGAGTTTCATCTCGTGCTCGTAGCTATGAAATATGGAATACTTTCCCGGGTGCACTTGGAATTTCTCATGTTACCTCTTTAGACAACTGTGATGTTACACTGCATAGATATCCAGTTCATTGTCAGTGTAAGTTTCTCTCCCTCTGTTAATGTCTGTATGAGACAAATTATTTCATTGCAAAATTGTGGATATGCGATTGACTAGGAAGACTAACAACAAATTAATACGATCAATCTATAAAATGCTTCATGCTGATTGATGATCAGCTGACAGGTTTTTTATACTCGGGTACACACAAATCTTAAATAATGTTTATAGAGATTATTTGGCTCCTGACATTCATTACCCTAAAAGCCTTGATTAATATGTTTTTCGCGTCGTTACTGCTTCGTTTGCTCAATTTCCGCTCCTCAAATTGTCTGTCGATAATAACTGCTTGGCATTGGTCAGTGAGAACATAGATTTTCAAGTATTGGTTTTGTAGGGATTTTGTTTGATTGCATAGAGGTTTTCACCATGAGCTGACACCAGTTAGAGAACCACTGGAAAAGCTACAGGGAGTACAGGACAGCTGTTTCGTCCTGGTTTGGGACTCTCCATCAGTACGCACCCACTGGGATTCGAACCCAGGACCTTCTGGTTACAAGGCGACCTCGTAGACCATTGAGCCACTGGGGCCGGATCCAATGGTCCTTGAATTCTAACTTCTGCTAATTCTCGACATAGCGCGACCATTTTGCAATGTCTTCTTCGATGAGTTACTGCATCACCTTCAACCTTCTGTACCCTACTAGTCACGGCTTCCCACTAGAACCCCAGGTTAACTACCTGAATAGGGCCAGTCGCTAGTGAGCACCAGATTAATTTACAAGTATTGGTTTTGTAGGGATTTTGTTTGATTGGCTGGAGGATTTCATCATGAGCCAACTCCTTATACATATAACCTTTGCTCAGTACTACGTCTCTATCCATCTTGGAGTCTATTTTTCCCCTGCGAAGGCATGTACAATATATCTTCCTAAAGTCAACAGCTTGTGAACAGTATATTGTGTAGGATGTCTTTTTTGAGAATATTTAATAGCTGCTTGACATGATTGTGTTGCGAAAAGAGGAAGTGACACATTCTTGTGAATCTACATAGAAAGCATTTAAGGAATACAAAAGAAGCACAATACATAGGACAAGTATAAATAAAGATATCATTGTATCTTTGTGCGGACGTTTTTTATTCCACCGTATCTATCCCTGAAGTTGACTGGTGTTAGCATATTTCATGAGTTCTCATGAGCCTAGCTTGCCTCCAGCAGTATATTTTCTCTCCGCACTTTGCGTGATCCCTGACTTCAAATGCTATGCACTCCCTCTTTTCTGTCTGCTCAAACTTTGCAGCGTCACTCTTCTGTTCATGGTTTGCATTCTTGACTGATGGTTTTCGTTCTGTTTTTGTTACCAAGTTTCTGTGGAAAAAGTCCCTTTACATCCTGATGTCGCCTGCTTTCGTAACTGGAGTCGACTGCTGGGACGATCGTTTGTACCAATTCCCTTTTATCAGTCGACACCGCGGACAATCCAGTACATATTTTGCAACCTCTTATATCTGATCAGTACACGCTTGTTCTGGCTACACTTGTTTGTCGTAGTTGCTGCATTCTTGTATCAACTCGTGTCGTAGGGAAACTTCTAACTACAGGAGGTCAATCGCGAGTCTGAATAGCTCAGTGGTAACATCTCTGACTGCATCACTGATTGGCGCGGGTTCGAATCTCAGAAAGGAAATGAGTTCCTTCAAGGTTGGAGATACGCCTTGCTGATGAGTGCCAACTAGCACGTAACCTAGGTCGACGGCTTCTTGCCGATTGCCTCCAACCATTTAATACCAAGATTTCTAACCACATTCCATCATTCTCTCGCCAGGTTAAGTTTAATTAAATCTTCAACCTTAATCTATCCTTCTACCTGAGCAACATGGTTAGCTGTCCATTCCCCGTAGGTCTATTTACTTCCATCGCGTTAGTAATTACCTGTACCACTATGTTCAAGTTAGGGTCATACTTCAGACAAGACAAGTCATAATGGGTCTTGTCTCAGTATATGTACTCCGTATGAAATTTCTTGTAACTCAGCTTCATCTTATAGCACAAATAAAATGTCTGACAACAAATTTGCTTTCCCTAGGATGTGGGACATCGTGCATCCGTACTATTCCCGCGCAGATCTTTTGCTGTCTTCAGCCACTTCAGAGATATATGGTGATTTTCGATATGAAACCGTTGACCGAGTAGATAAGGTCTCCACTTATCTGACGCCTAACATACTGCTAGACATTCTTTCGTGACTTTTGATTACTCTTGTTCCGTGAGTGTCAGAACACCACTACCATACTCAACAGTTGCTTCATTGTGCTTTAGTACTGCACTCGTTCCGTAGTGACTTGCATTCGTAGACACCCTGAACTGTTTTCTAGGTACATGTAATTTCGGAATCATTTGGTAGAAGGTTAAAAGCAGTTTAACGCCGTCGAGTGTCTTCTACGAGTCTTCTAACCAATCAAACTATGTCTCGCCTACTAGTCTGTACAACAGAGCTGCTATTTCACTGTATTTCTTTATAAACCAACTATAAAACACTATTCTTTCCAAGAACTGCCGCAATTTCATCTTCAAATTCCAGTCTGTAATAGTCCTTATCGTCAAAATTTTCTCAGGCAGCATTTTAATTCGATTGTTCTCCACTTTATATCTTAATAACGTAACATCTCTTTTAGCTATCTGCGATTTCTTGTTGATGAGTAGTTCGAACACTTCATTGCTTCCAAAAACAGCTTCTACGTGTCCTACATAGTTCTCTTTGGTCTGATTTCATATGAATCGTTCGCCACCATACACTTTCACTTTCTTTGAGTTCCTAAACAACAACGTCTTCAGTCGTAGGAATGTAAAAGGTGTACCTGCCGATCCAAACTTTATGGGTTTAAACCAATATTGCTTCTGCCCTACGATGAACGCTTTTATCTCTATCTTTTTTTCTTGGTATATTCCAATAACTCAATTTATAGTCTAGAACTGTGAACATATTAGCTTATTGAAAGCGATCCGTGGTTTCTACTGCTTTTGACATGGAACATAGTCTCAATTCTTTTGTGCTGTTCATCTCTCAGAAACCAGTACAAAATCTATACTTCCCGTTGGATTTCTTCATTAACAAGACTGAAGAGCTGTACAGACTGTCGGGTCTTTCGGTTATCCCTTCAATCCACATTTCGTGAATTGGCCTGTTTACTTCTTCTAAATGCGATGGCACTCGTCATGTTTTAAAGAATACTTATCTCTGAGTCTTCAATGGTATCTTATGTTTTACCATATAACTATAATCGTAAGGTTCTTTGTCTGCTTTGAATAAGCTGGTATACTTAGTCAGCAACTTACGGGTACTTAACAGTTCTGAGCGTGTATTGCTACACCTACTTCGTTTAATTCGATGTTCCCGTGAATAATAAACTGTCCATATTCCGTGTTCATTGTTCTGTTCCTCATATCAATCGCTGCGCCTACTTATCTCAAAAAATCCACTCCCAATATTGTTCGCTGTATATATGATGTTACAACAAATGGGTAGCGTATTTTTCACGCTTCGATCTCTACAACATGGTCTGAAACACTGGACAGTTTAAAGGTATGATCCATTTATGGTCTGAACTTCCAACGCGTGTGTCCTCACATCAGTACACTTTTCGTTACCTATCAGTGGATTGCTTACGCTTGTATCAGTGAGACAAACTAACTTTCACTCGTTTACTCGTATTCTTATATACACAACCCCTCTTTCTATCGATACCGGTCTATAGGTAATAATATTTTCAAAAAGTAACACGTAACATAGTCGTACATCGACATAGATCGAGCAGTGGGCATCTGTCGAAATTAGTAAAATCCTATTGGATATTAGTACGATTAACAGACAGTTAATATTAATACAGTGTAAATTCCGTTTGGCTGACTTCGAAGCCAGTCTACTTGAGACTTCGTTTAGATGAAATATTTCCCATGAGTACAAATCATAAATGTGTGAATTGAAAACAAAACAATGCCAACAGTTGGCGTGATCATGGGTAGTAATTTTGCTCGGAATATTACCAAAAAGCAAAAACTTATTATTGTGTGTAAAATATTGAAATATAATTATAATCTATTCGATCTATTCCACAATGCTCAAACTTTTTACCGACATGAAATATTTCATGATGTTTTTTAAATTCTTCTTTTTATGAAATTAGCCGCATTTAGATCCGGTTTTACAATGCTGATTACAATACGTCAAGAACTCTGCGATTTGTATTCAAGCCGCATTAAATCTCTTCGTGAAACAGTATTTCGCTCAAAGTTCTTACGAAAGGTAAGCTATATACAATGATTGCAATCTTTTTTCATCATCATTGGAGTTTCAGGAAGAAAATTTCTTGCGTTCCGAACAGAACCTAAGACTTCAAGCTTTTGAAATTTCAGTAGCAATGAGGTTGATTTTACCGAGTGGGACTGCTATCCCCACGTCCCACTTACCTTCTTTTCCTATCTTATTATCGGCTTGTAAAGTAGATCCTAGTTTGGGAATCATTAGCAGTACAAACCCACTGGGACTCGAACCCAGGACCTTCCGGTTACAAGGCAATCTCGTATATCATTCAGCCACCGGGACCCGATTTAATGGCTCATGAATTCTAACTTCTACCAATTCCTGATTTAGCGCGACCCCAACCAATGTAGTCGGCAGGACATCCATCCTCACACGTGACATCTGAATGAACCTCACTGGTCACGACTTCTCACTAGGCCTCCATGAAACTCTAGCCTGTAGCAAGTCACTAGCGTGCATCAGACTAATTTTCTGTAGTTTGGTTTCTAAGGATAGTTATGTTAGGCTCGCGCTAAATCACAAATTGGTAGAAGTTAGAATTCATGAGCCATTGAATCGGGTCCCAGTGGCTGAATGGTATACGAGTCAGCTTGCCTTGTAACCGGAAGGTCCTGGGTTCGAATCCCAATGGGTGCGTACTGACGATGATTCCCAAACTAGGATTAAACAACAGCTGTCCAGTACTCCAGCTCCGGTTTTCAATGGTTCTCTAACTGATATCACACCGTGATCAACTCGTAAACACATAACTAACCCTTACAAACCAAACTATAGAAAATTTTGTTATTTGATTAACTTATCAGTATAACTCAGTGATTGTTTTGTATTGTTTTAGCGCTATTCGATTGCTGCAATCCATCAGCCTCACCCACCATAATACTACTCTGCAATTTAGGTCAAATTTTGTTTAAAGCAATCAAGTAGTTGTAAATCTAAATGTTAAAGTTGGTAGACGATGGTCCTATATATCGCGAAGTGGCAGGAGTATGGAATTGTGGACCGTTGGATTTCATCCCAGGGGTTAAATGGGCTCTGACTGTAAAACTTGAAGGTCCTGGGAGCATGGATGCTGATATGTATCCACATATATATATTTATGTGTGTGTGTGCATGTTGGTCTCTCTTTCTGTTTGCTCTCTTAGTCTGTGACCATTTCACTTGGATGAACCTGTCTCCTTTAACAATGTATATTCCCCTTATATTATATATAATATGAGTGTTTGTTGACAGTCCGTTGCTTGGTGACATATATCCATATATGGTGGTTGTTGACATGTCTGCTATATTTCGCTATGTATATATGGATCGATACTTCATTATAATTAGCCATTCATGTTAAGACTGTCTAATGATTTGTTCACACACTTGTCTGGACGGTCATGTATATATTTCGTTCTCACAATTTGTGTGATTGACTTACTTACTACTTACTTACTTTGGTGTGATACCACTTATTGCTTCTCCTTGTGTTTGGAAAATAGAAGTATCATCGCAAACCTAGTGGTCTTCTGATTTCCGCCTTCTTGCGTCAGGACTATTAAATTCTCGACCAGTACATAACAATAATTTAGCGACGAGTACATAACAATTTGGCGACGGGGAAAACTACTATTAACCACTCAGCAGCAGCAACATAACAATTTACTATGGATTATTCTAAATTGGAATTATTGTTTGAACGACAAATGAAATTAATGGAAATGTTCGTCAACCAACAGACTGGTCCAGCTTCACCTTCAAGCAATCCCAATCATACCATGCTACCATCTGTCGACGGAATTGTGAATAGTATTTCACAGTTCAATTATGATCCAGATGCTAATGTCACTTTTGACACATGGTATCAACGTTATGAGGATTTATTCACTGTTGATCTCGCCTCACAAGACGATGCCTGGAAGGTGCGAGTGTTGTTACGTAAATTGGGTCCGGCAGAATATGAACGGTACTGCAACCTAATTTTACCCCAGAAACCACGTGACAAGTGTTTCGATGATACAATAAAGCTGCTGCGTGAACATTTTGGAGACCACTCCTCATTATTCAGCATACGTTATCGTTGCCTCAAGCTGACAATGAATGAAAATGATGATTTTCTTACTCACGTTGGCACAGTCAACCGAGAATGTGAGAGATTTCGACTCAGGTCCTTAACAGATGATCAATTCAAAGCCTTGATTCTCATATGCAGTCTTCAATCTCCTCGTTTCACAGATATCCGAACTCGACTGCTCAATCAGCTAGAACAAAATCCTAAGTTAACATTACATGACATAGCTGATGAATATCAACGGCTGATTAATTTGCAGAAAGACACACACCTGGTCGAATCAACACCTTCGAGAAGCTCTGATATTCATGCATTACGAAAGAGCAAAAATCTCTCATCATCCACTCCTGACCCACCTTCTTCTAATGTTCCGCGGAAATCTACACATACTCGTCCAACTTCACAAAATACTGCAAAGAAGACCCCACCATCACCATGCTGGCATTGTGGCGCGTGGCACTTTGTAAAGTCTTGTCCATACAAAAATCATCGTTGCAGCAAGTGCAAAATCATCGGTCATAAAAATGGTTTTTGTCAGCCACGCAAACCCAGATATCAAAATCCAGCAAAAGCTCGACAAACTGTTGGTCCTAAATCTCCAAAAAAGTCATTGAGTCTACGCGCAACCTGTCAAGTCACAACACCAGGTATGCGGAAATATCTTGATCTTCAGATGAATGGTCATGATGCACGTCTGCAGCTAGATACCGCCTCTGATATTACTGTTATATCAGAGAAACTTTGGAATAATATTGGCAGACCACCTATCACCAATACTTCCCAGTCTCTTGTCAGCGCCTGTGGTGGGCGGCTCAAACTAATTGGTGAACTCAAATGTTCTGTTTCCTTCCGCAATACCAAATTCACAGGAATTTGCTACGTCACCAAGAGTGATTTAAATCTTTTGGGACTTGATTGGTTCGATCGTTTGCATCTGGCTGATGTCCCACTAAATTCGCTATGCAATGCAGTCAAGAAGCATAAAATGTCAGACAATTCCGGACGAAGCCGAAGCCGCAAACCCAACAGTCAGACGAAACGACAGACGTCAACAACAAGCCCAAAGGTTCCAGATAAACCCCCAGGTAAACATCCTACTAATCATCCATCTTCTCAAAAGGGGAGGTGATATGTATCCACATATATATATATATGTGTGTGTGTATGTTGGTCTCTCTTTCTGTTTGCTCGCTTAGTCTGTGACCATTTCACTTGTCTCCTTTAACAATGTATATTCTCCTTATATTATATATAATATGAGTGTTTGTTGACAGTCCGTTGCTTGGTGACATATATCCATATATAGTGGTTGTTGACATGTCTGCTATATTTCGCTATGTATATATGGATCGATACTTCATTATAATTAGCCATTCATGTTAAGACTGTCTAATGATTTGTTCACATACTTGTCTGGACGGTCATGTATATATTTCGTTCTCACAATTTGTGTGATTGACTTACTTACTCTTACTTACTTTGGTGTGATACCACTTATTGCTTCTCCTTGTGTTTGGAAAATAGAAGTATCATCGCAAACCTAGTGGTCTTCTGATTTCCGCCTTCTTGCGTCAGGACTATTAAATTCTCGACCAGTACATAGCAATAATTTAGCGAGGAGTACATAACAGATGCATACAGGTGAAGAGCCAGAAGCTAGAGTGAATCAACTATTCATTTCTCGCTGCTTCTCTGACTGATGTCACCTCGTGATTTAACTTGAAGACTTCAAGACTTAGTCTGTAAAGATTTTATTTCTTTCAATTTTGAAATTAATCTGATGCTTGCTAGTGACTGGCTACAGGATGATTTTGCCTGCAGTTTTAGTGAAGAAATCGTGTCCAGTAAGGTTCATCCGGTGGGCAGTGAGGACAAATTGGCTGGTGGTCGCAGTAAAATGATGAATTGATAGAAGTTGGAATTCGTGGGCCACTAGATCTTGATCCCAGTGGCTGAATGGTCCACAAGCTTGCCCTATAGTCAGGAGGTTCTGGGTCTGAACCCCGACAGGTGTGTAGCGCTGAGGAGCCTCTAACTACGACGAAGTGCCTGTCCAGTACTCCTGATTTTCTGTGGTTCCCTAACCAATATCATTTTGGGGTCAAACTTGATGCTTTAATTTGCCAGACAATAATTAAAAATAATCATCGCATTTGTAGGAAATTCGATTGGATTACATACAAAATTGTTAAACTTCACCAAACTTGCACTTCACTAAGGGTGCCTGCGAAAACTGGTTCCGGTCATGTACAAATAATAGGCAATCACTTGCTGTTATTGATACGATTCATTTTAATGCCACGATCAGTCTTGATTAATGTGTGATATTTTGCCTCACCAAGGGACTGAAGTACGTCAAATGTATTGTAATCAGGTTATTTACCGTGATAACCTAAGTTGTGGGCAGTCGAGAAGATACTGACGAAATAAATTGGATCCATTCTTCCTGTTGTTGTTTAGTTGTATATAATGTGCAAAAATAAATAATGTGTTATGTTTTTCTCTTCTCTAGGTAGTTATTATATGGCAGTGCAACAGCTTACCACCAACTGACATTGAGCTGAATTCTTATCTCCCAGTACCTGTTGAAATTATATTACCTGATGAACGTTACCTAACAGGATATAATCTAGCATCTGCATCACCAAGTGTCCGTTTTCAGCCTTTTGATGAAATTCCTACCTTGGCGGTGTTCACAAACTCATTGAATTTGAATATCACTGTTGAACAGGTAATATACAACCTACTGTCTTTATATTATATGTTGTACAAAAAAGAGACGCTGTCTCGTTTCTAACATTAGAAGTTGAGTAAATTAGCAGAACTCAGCATGGGAATGAAAAGTTTAGGTCATGAGGTGTGGGTTATTTGACTTATTTTTTTACTTTTTTGTTGGCATTACTCTACCAGTTGTGATGTAACATGTGTACCTTCATATTTCAAATTACTACTCGGTTGTGAAGTTCTGCCAGGCACTCTAGTTCTAAATCGATTAGTGCAGTTTTGCTGTAGTCAATTGTTGTATGAAAAATTAAAGCCTTCTACCTGTGTTTGACTGGTGTAAGTTGTTGGTTACTCCAGTTCATAAGTAGGGAAACAAGTCTTCCTTCCTGTGATAATCATAGGGAGATAAGCTCGTCAAATATGGTATCTAAAGTTCTACATTCACTACTCATGAGTAGCCTGAGCAGTGCTTGGGATAAACAAACCCGGGTGAGCCACTAAGCTTTAAGCCATTAAATGTAGGTGTATTGATCACATCTTCACCCTTCGACAGATTCTGAAACACAGACATACTTATCGGAGTTCAATGCTAGCCATATTTTTTGACCTAAAGACGGCATTTGACTTCGTCGACCCAAACTCACGCAGCTGTGTAAGAGCTTATGGGAGAGTTGTCATCTAAAGTGACCCAATAAATAATCATGTTTTTCCACGTTCCTATTCTTCCTCGCATGCATTTCTACTCATTACAGTTCTTTTGAATTCATTTATTCTTCTTTTCCCTGTCTTTTCGTGCTGCATAGAGTGCCGCAACTTCAACTACTGCACTACTACTGTACAAATTTGTATCTTGAAATTCAGTTAGGCAGATACACTTGTTTGAAATTCTCTTTTCACTTGGGGGTTATCAATACAGTCATGATTCCATATTAGTTTGTTTATTAGATGTATCACACAGTCATTGAAACAGTATTATTTACTGGATGACAGCGTTTCAGACACAATTTATTACTGTTCATAATCATATCGCCAATTATAATCACACGACTTTGAAACTTGAGTTTTATTGTTTTCTTTGTCCTCTCCTATTTGTCGTCGTTGGGGTAGTAGAATCATGCAGTTGTTTCGATAAACAAAGCTTCTGTTATCAATCTCTCCCTCCACCCTGTGACATTAGACTTTACAACTGTCATCCTATTGTATGTTTTAAAATCCAATGTCACAGGGTGGAGGGAGAGATTGATAACAGAAGCTTTGTTTGTCGAATCAACTGAGAGACAATACATGTAATAGGAATGATTCAACACCTGTCCAGTTGGAGATCAGGAAAATTCTACTACCCCAACGACGACAAATAGGAGAGGACAAAGAAAACAATAAAACTCAAGTTTCAAAGTCGTGTGATTATAATTGGCGATATGATTATGAACAGTTATAAATTGTGCCTGAAACGCTGTCATCCAGTAAATAATACTGTTTCACTGTGTGATACATCTAATAAACAAACTAATATGGAATTACTTACAACCACAGTGCCCAAGTTTTATACATATATTAACAGTCATGATTGCTTATCCGTAACTACTGTTATATATTTAGTCAATTTCAGTGGACATTTCTGAAGTTATTTGATTATTTTTTGTTCTCTTTCCTCTTCCTTCTTATATGATTTAACTCTCCCGGTAGAAATCAATTTCGTTAAATACGTTGATGATCTGACTGTCTCGCTGCCTGTTACGTCCTGATTTGACTGTTCCAAACTCAAAAGCATTTTTTCGGGCATAAGCAAGTAGTCTATGCTAAATAGTGTCACGTTAAATCCCTCCAAACGTCAGGCAGCCAATTTTAACTTCAGACGTAAACGTGATGTACACAAACTTGTTCGTTCACAAGATGCTTGTTGCGTAGAGGATACTGAATTAAAAACTAAGTCAGACAGGAAATGCCTAGGGATATTTCTATCCTCTAACCTTTCTTGGTCATCTCGTATCTTGTTGACTCCTAAAAAAGCGTTCCGTGTAACCTTTTACATTAAGAAGTTAAGACAATCAGATATCACTAAACCTTTACCTTTATAATTTGTTTACTCTTGTATCTTACCCATTGTTCTGTATTGCTCTGCCATAAGTATTACCTGGGATACTCAAAACGGTCTATGTCATATTTTGAGGTGCATTAAAAGTCATCAGTATGGCAAGTGGTGTGCGACTAACTCAGCTTGTTACCAGCGTAATCGACAGACACCTGAACTCATGTGAGAAATGGTCTATATTCACACTGTCCGACCCTTAACACACTCTCTGGTCACAACTTTCCCTTTGCATCTCCTCAGGTAGGACTTGAAGTCATTCTAAAAGATCATCTCAGTAAAAAACCCGGCCATACACTATCTGTCTCGTGGCCTATGTGATACAAAAGGTGTTAAGCGCAAAATTTATAATTAACTACGTAATCAGCAAAATAAGTGGCTCTTTAATCTCCTATTTGTAATCTATGATGACACTTCCTGCTATGTTATAATTTTAGTTATTAATATTATTATTATTTTATACTTTTTCTACGTTTTTGACTTTATTGTTACTGTTAATGCAAAAAAGATTGTTACCATTAATTTTTTTGCCTATACCCTGTAATGTTCTTTTGTTGTTGTTGAGTAAATTAGATGGAATATTGTACTAAATACTGAGAATTCCATGCTGTGCCATAAGTACTATTTCGGAATAAAGCAAATTATTATTATTATTCATTAGGAAAATCATGTCTTCATTGATTTTTGCAGTTGGAATTCGCTTATTTAACGTGGCAAGAGTTCCCAAATCGTCTTGTTGGATTTCAAGCTCGTTCGCATTATTGGAATAGTACTGATAATTTGTGGAGATATGATGACAAACCGTCAACAAAGCAGTTTTCAATAATTCTACTGAATGGTGCTTTCTATCATCGGTTAGTTTAATTTATTTTCTTCTTCTGGTAGTTTAAGTCGTATTTAACTTAGAGCAACAGAAAAAATTGAGAATACAGAATACAACAACCTATTAGTGCTTATTTCTACAGAGGGCTAGTTTCGCATATGCCAGTTTACGCCGTCTCTGGCTTAGTAGACGTGATATCCGGCTGGCTATCGACCAAAGGGCAGATGTACTGCTCATCACTCCGCTCCGTCCTCCTTTATAGCTGTGAGACCATTGGGAGTGTGAAAACACCGGCTAGCTATCTTTGACCATAGGTGCCTGGGCTCTATCTCCCGTGTGAAATGGTATGATAAGGTAAGCAATATTGAGGTTAGGCGTAGATGTATTCAATCTCTGTAATCTTTCATATTCCTTTCTGCCATTACCCATTCTGTTTCATTCTTATACTTGTGAAACTCTATTAATTCTCTCCACTCATCTTCTTGTCTACCTTTGTGTGCTATTTGAAACGTGGCAACTCGAACTGGTGCACTTCGGTGTCAATTTCTATGTTGAATCCAGACAGAGAGAGACAGGTTAGGCGTCGAGTAGGGGGGGGATCAATAGACGAGATTGTGAACCTACATCGACTGAGATGATTAAGACATGTGTTACGTATGCCTAGCCACCGCCTTCCTCCACCGATGGGCAATGTTAACTGACATAGGGTCAGGCTGGAAAAGAGCTAGTGGCGGTCAGACCAAAACATGGCACCAGTTAATGAAATGCAGCAGGTCGAGTGTGAGGACAAATACTCGCCGAAGACATTGGCTAGGGTTCGCGCTGTGTTGTGGATTGCAGAAGTTAGAATTTATGGGCCGTTGGATCGGGTCCCAGTGGCTTTATGGTATACAAGCTCACCTTGTAACCAGAAAGTCCTGGGTTCGAATCCCGGTGGGTGCGCACTGCTAAAGAGTCCCGAAACTAGGATGAAACAGCTGTGCAGTACTCCCAGGTTTTCCAATGGTTCTCCAACCAATGTCACCTCATGATGAAATCCTGTAACCAATCAAATCCCTACAAACCATAACTTGAAGATCCACAACAGCTAGTTTAAGCCACGTAAGAAGGTGTAGACTGGCTTCATGGTTGGGGTCCTCGGGACGGTAAAAACCAATGGCTGGACACAATTGGTGATATGGCTCAAAGTTATCGTTCTCAATGGCTGGCGCAGATGCATCCACTCCTTGTGACTTATGATTTCCAATAAAGCTGTTTTGTTCTTCGTTACTACTATTCCTTTTTCTCACACCTCTGTTCACTGTCCTTATTATGCATTTCTCCTACTTTCTTCTGTTGCTTTGTGTGCTACAATATGGGAATGTGGTGACTTGAACTGGTGCACATCAGTGCAAAGTTCTATGTCGAAAACAGACATACAGACGCGAAATACTAAGATAGGAGGCATAATGGCGGAACCAAGGCATTTGAAGAACACAAAGTCAACAAGTGCTAGTGTGTAGGTAGATTAGATGACATACTAAATTACTTTGCTGAAAATTAGTCACGGACTTAATTACGCTACATCATGGTGCGATTCAGTCATTTCAATTTTGGAAAGGATACTATTACACACAGTCCTACTTGTAACAGATAAAGTAATTGAGGAAGCTATTAAGGTCAATAGAATAAAATGGTTCAAACATATTTGCTCATACCTCCTCATTGTCTGTATACCTAAACATCGTGAATTTAGATTGGGATAGAGAAAGAAGAATGTTCAGACTAAAACTTATTAAGAATCTATGAGGACATCATCTACTTAGTTGGTGCCTACATTAACCTAAGGTCATTGTCCCTTAGGTGATGTGGCATAGAAGTGTGTGCAGTAACAAATACATTCACACATAGCATTCTTTAGAATTGTAATTTCGTATTGCTCTATCTTTTTCTTCGTTCTAAAGCACTTTGCATTATTCGCATCTATGGAATACATCATCTTACAAACACTATAGTTCATCTTTAAAAATTACATTTGTAAAATCTCAGCAAAATTGAAATGCGTAATCTAACGTTTCGTTCAGCAAATTGGTTCGAACTTCTTCCAGGAAATTAGTCAAAATTAACATAACAGAGGTTTATATATGAAAAGGATATCTCTTGTTTTCAAAAACTTTATCCAATCATATGAGTCATGAAACAGGCATCAAAATTTAATAAACAAAAGTGCATGAACTGTGATCAAAATTTGACCTCACACTTACAAATATTAGCCCACTTTTGTTAAACACTGTGTACTTTTCATCAGAACTTTAATGATCACAGTTGACTTAAAGTTCATGGTCGCAGATAACTGAATATGAAAAAATATTTATGTATATGCGGTATACAATTGTATGTATATGGGTAAACAGTTGTAAAACATTTGTTAGCCTTTTCATAAGACGATACAGACAATCGGGAATTTAGATCAAGTATGATTAATTAGTGATACATATCCATTTTTTATTTATTAATCAGGATTTGCCATGCATCAGCTAACATCACACCTTTACGTCTGTTCAAACTGTTGGGATTCACACATATATGTATTGGTTCCGCAGTTATTCTTTATACGAACTAAAACCTTTCTGCAGAACCTAAGTCTTATCAATTCGATTTTGTGTCCCGTTTCTATCCAATGCAGTGCAATCGTTGGTCTGTTTTCTAGCTTCTTTAAGTTCACGGAGGTCTTTGGAACCACCTTTAGAAATTGTTTATGCTCTTTCACTCTTATATTCACATCTCTGTGCGTCGGTGGCACAGCGGTTAGGACTCTCGCCGACCATGCACATGGTCCAGGGTTCGATCCCCTGCAGACCCATACCCGATATCAATGGTCAGCCCGCAAAATTGGGCTACCGATATCACGTGGTGAAAATTCGATACTTGTACCAAAAATAGTGTGGTGTCAAGCTATAATCAAAATATAAATATAAAATATACGGCGTCACAGTCCCTGCAATTGGTCTGGTACACCAAATCTTTTGGTTTTCTTTTATTTCATCCTTACCCTTCACCATCGATGAGCGTAACGTGTTAGTTGCACGAAAATGCACTTATGTCATACTCGTTATGGATTCGCTTTATGTCATCCGATGTTTCTTTATAGTTGGGAATCACCTCTGTACTTATTTTTTTTATTTTTGATTACAGCTTGATTCCACACTGTATTTTTGGTACAAGTATGGAATTTTCAGCGTGGATATCGGTAGCCCAAAATTCGCAGGCCAACCATAGATATCAGGTGTGCGTCGGCGTGGGCTCGAACCCCGGACCATGTGCATGGTCGGCGAGAGTCCTAACCACTGTGCCACCGACGCACAATTTTTAGCAACAGGTTTCGATCCATCCTTATCTTCACATTTTTATGAAGTGTTTACGATAAACTAAAGTATAATTATAGTTCAATGGTTTACACACGATAATTATTTGATTCAAGAGTGGATTGAACCAATTTTAGTTCCCTGCTGGTCTCTTCCACCTCAATAACTAGATGTTTGGCTCTGTTAATCAGATTCTTGACCACAGTTACTTTGGTGTTGAATAGCATCTGTATTTTAGAACTGTTCGGTCAAATATTGATCACAGTTCATATGAATATCACTAGAGATTACAACTAATTGTATCTTAATTTATTCTCACCGATAAATTACCAATTTAAGTCATAAATATCCGTGTTATGACTTGATAGCATGCACCAATAAAAAACGTGACCTTTAATCTACGTTATAATCAGATGTCTGGCAACCAGACCACGCAAACAATGACTCCCAATGTCTTCTTTCTGATCTCATTGATATAACATTTGGCATTACATAACGTGATGACATCATGCTGAATAGAAATGCGGTGTCACAAATTTCATCATCTGCATACTGACTTTTTCGTCGACTCTTCCGTTATCTAGTGTTGGTTTCATTGGTAACAGGTTTCGATTAAGAGTTGACAGCATTTAGAGAACACTGGAAGACCTGGCAGTATTGGATAAGCTATTTTGTCCCAGTTTCCGACTCCTCATCGGCGGGGTCCGAACCCGGGACCTTTCGGTTGCAGTCACTTGGGAACCGATCCAATACTACAACTTCTGACAATTTGCGAGACATATACATGCCGTAACCGCCATCCATTTTCATAGCCGAGTAAATTCATCTCTCATCTGACTTGACGAACTCCACTGGTTACTTACGACTTCTCACTAGAAGTTCAGGTAACTCCCTGTATTCAGCCAGTCACTAGTGAGCATCAGTTTAATTATCAAGTGTTAGTCCGTAGTTAACATCTGTACTACTTTTGCATTTCAGGACTTAGGGTGAGTATACATGCTGTATCTTAGTAGTAGTCGATGCGGATAATATAGTTAATGCAATATAAGAAGTTCGTCTCAGATATCTTTCAAAATGCTGTTAATACCTGTCTAACTATGTAGAGTAAATCGCGTCCATATATATATTCTTTCTTCATTGTAGTTATTACCACCATTTGTACCGAACACTGTTGGATCGTAAATTACATGAAATTGTTGATGTATTCCAAGACTGTGAAGATATTTTACTGAATTGCCTTATAAGCCATGTAACTACCTTGCCTCCAATTAAATTATTTCAAGTAAATCAAACGGAAAATCTCATGGTATATTCGGATGTTGACAATTCAACTCAGTCAAATGAATATCGTGACCGACGAAGCCTATGCATACAGGCTTTTTCACAACACTTTATTAAATTCCCTTACACAGGGAAACAATCTATGCCTAATAATAATAATCAGCATACAGATGAAAAGGATATCCCTGAATTATATCTACCACTTTATAGGAATTCGCACAGGTACGTGTAATTTTACAAATACGTTTTGTTCTACTTTTTAAGGTTGGTTAACTATTATCAGATCGTGGGAAACACCCATCAAGATATTATAGGTAGCAGAACAATTCGTGATTTCATCCTCAAAAACTGTACATATACATCATATTTTTATACATAAGTTTACATAGTCGCAATTATTATTCTACTTGACATCATGACGAAGGAGAATAAAAAAGGGGTTGTGGTTTTTAACTTGATGTGAATGTTTGCTGTGAATATAGACTACAAGGGGCCTAGAGGCAAAATTACATAGGATTGGGAACCAGTTGGATAATATGTGAAATAGTTTTTAACGAAAGCACGTGTGACTACGACGGACATAGAAACAGACCTAGATTTCGCGTGTGGATGATTTATGTTTGGTGTCACACAAAATCGAAGACTTACGAGCGAAAACCGACAAACTGGTCGAAGAAGCAGTCAGAGAAGACAGGACTCCAGGTGAACATAGACAAGACGGAGGTTATGAGAATAATCAACCAATAACAACAACAGCAGCAACATCCAGCGCCAATCACCACCAACGGGAGGGATTTGAAAGAAGTTACTTCATTCACTTATCTAGCTAGGGAGCATTTTCTCAACTACAGAAAGTCGAAACGGACGAGGATGTCAAATCGAGCGAGAATCAGGAAGGCAGGGGAGAAACACATTCATCAACCTGAAACCAATCTGGAAATCTCCGTCACTCAGCATCAACAACAAAATTCAGTCGGATTTTCAATACAAACAACGTCAAGTCAGTCAGCTCTTCTATACGGATCAGAAACTTGGCGGGTGGGTCACAAAGAATGTTTCCAACAGCCTGTTGCAGACCTTTATCAACAAAAACTGTCTTCGCTCTATACTGAAGATCAGATGGCCGGGCGAAACAAAACAAGAACCAATCACCCAACAAATATGCAGGAGAAAGTGGAGATGGATTGGACACTCGCTGAGGAGGCCGGTTGGTGACATCGCGCATCAGGCTGTCGAGTGGAACCCGAAAGGGAAACAGGCGGCAAGTGGGTCGCCAGTACGAGGGTGACATAGAGATCGTGTGAAGAGGAGTTGAAACACTATGGAGTAACATGGATGGATGCAGGTGAAAAGTACAGTAGAAGGAAGACAGAAGCAAGTGGAGACGTGCAGTTGAAGCCTTATGTTCCACTAGGAACCCAAGGGAACAATAATAATAATAACTTTAGATGAAAGAGTGAACAGAATGAAAAAAATTGACAACTTAGAAGTCAAACATAACTGGATTCGTGGTAAATGTAGAGGTTGCAGTCCAATGCCAAAGAAAATACTATATATGAAGCGTAATTTCAGAAGAGACTTAGTGGCAGATATCTTAAAGAAGATAGTGTTTATTACCCTAAACAGAACTTTTACTGCAGCAACACTTCAGGCGATATTCTCTAGTCGGCCACTACTTCTAAAGAAACAGCTAGGTTTTAGAGCACGTAGAGAGTGTATTGATCCCACCTTCACCCTTCGACAGATTCTAGAACATAGGCATACTTATCGCAATAAAACAATTCCAACAGTGGTGTAAACATGGGCAGTAATTTTGCTCGAAATATTACCAATAACAAAACTTATCATTGAGTGTAAACTATTGAAATATAATTATACTTTATTTGATACTTATCGGCGTCCAACAATCGTAATATTTCCTGACCTGAAAGCGGAATTTGTTTCCGTTGACCTAGAGGTACTATGGCGGTTTGCCTGTGAAGGGAATGCCAGACAAATACATCGCACTGACCAAGGCACACAGGTGAGAACCTACGGAGAGTTGTCATCTGAAGTGGTGACAACCAGTGGCGTCTGTCAGGGATGTCCACTGTCCCCACTTCTGTTCAATTTCATCAATGATGGGGTTAACCCTTACTGTTTTCGGCGACTCAGGCCATAGTCTCGTTGACTAATATTAGGTGGATGATATAACCTCTATATTCACCTTGAATCTAGTTGTGTTTAGCTTCTTTCCTATCAGGCTTCTTTTTTTTCTTCAGTTATGAAAAAAATATTTCAATCTGTTTCTATACTCATCTTGTTCACACCTGTCTTTGTTAAAAAATATTTCACATATTATTATGCAACTGTTTTCTAATCCAATATAATTTTGTTTCTATGGCCCCTGTGATCAATATTTAAACCTTTAATCTTTCATACCACGTTGATAATTATTACCACCATTCATTACTCTGTTGAATTAAATAACAATAATAATTGTAACTATGTGAACGTATGTATAAAAATGCGATTGTTCGGCTTGAGAATGAAATCACTGGATAAGTATCTTTTGTGAGCTTTTATTCTTTCCTCTCTAACTGCTATTTGATTAAGTAACTTTATCGTTCTCAGTTATTCATGAAAGATTGTTTGAGAATACAATAGGAATGTGGAGAGAATGTTACACCCAGCAAAATCAATTGCATATTACAAGTATGAACGAATAAGTACAATTCTCAACCTATCAAGCTTCATTTAGCTCGAGTTTCTTTTTTTTTATTCCTTCACGCTCCCAGTGGAACATAGGGCTGTCTGTCTGTTTTCGACATAGAACTTTGCACAAATGTGCGGAAGTTCAAGTCGCCACATTCCGTGTAGCACGCGAAGCAAGAGAAGAAAGTACAAGAAAAGCATAATAGAAACAGTGAGCAGAGGTGTGAGACAAAGGAGTAATAAAGAAATACAAAACAGTTTCATTGAAGATCATAAGTCACAGGGAGTGGATGCATCTGCGCCACTGAGAACGATTTTGAGCCATGTCACCAATTGTTTCCAACCATAGATTTTTACCGTCCCGAGGACCCCAGCCTGGAAGTCTACACCTTCCTACGTGGCTAAGACCAACTGTTGTGGATTTCATTGACTGATGCCAAGTTTTTGTTTGACCGCCGCTAGCTTTTTTCCAGCCTGACCCTATATCCGCTAACATAGCTCGTCGAGGGAGGCGATGGCTTGGCATACGTAACACATGTCCTAACCATCTCAGTCTTTGTAGCTTCACGACTTCGTCGATTGATTTCCCCTGTTTACCTAGAACTCTACGCCTAACCTCCATGTTGCTCACCTTATTATGCCACTTTACACGGGAAATAGAACGCAGGCACCTATGATCAAAGACAGCTAGTCTTTTCATGTCTTCCACTCTCAGTGGCCAGGTCTCACAACCATAAAGGAGGACGGAGCGGACTGATGAGCAGTACACCCGCCCTTTGGTCGATAGTCGAACATCTCGTCTACGCCAGAGTCGGCGTAAACTAACAAATGCGAAACGAGCCCCTTGTATTCGTGCTGAGATTTCGTCAGAGATCAGCCCGTTGGGGCTGATGGTACTTCCCAAATAAGTGAAGCGGTCAACGTGCTCTACCACTTCACTTCCTATTTTTAAACTAGGCGTCGATGTAGTCCAGTCCTGTAACATCATCTTGCATTTGGCGGGAGCGAATCGCATGCCAAACATTCGTAGATTGCGGCTCAAGGTGTTTAGAAGACTCTGCATTTCGTCAGCGTCTTCGCCTAGAAGGACTATATCGTCTGCATATTCCAAGTCAACGAGATTATTCCCAGGTAGCAAGTCAATCCCTGAATCGCTGAAGTCACCTAGGGTTAAGTCCATTAACACATCTATGATGAAGTTGAATAGAAAAGGAGATAATGGGCATCCTTGACGGACACCACTGGTCGTCATCAGTTCAGATGACAGCTCGCCGTAAGCCCTCACCTGGCTGTATGAGTACGAATAGAGTGCCTTAATCAGTGCAATATATTTTCTTGGAATTCCCTTTACAGCCAAGCATCTCCAGAGAACTTCCCGATCGACAGAGTCGAATGCTGCCTTTAGGTCAAGAAATATAATGACTGTTGGACGCCGGTAGGAATGCCTATGTTCTAGAATCTGTCGGAGGGTGAAGATATGATCAATACACCCTCTTCCTGGTCTAAAGCCTGCCTGGCTCTCTCGTGTTTGTGCTTCCCGAGCACCACTCAGTCTACGCATGATTATTGAGCCTAAGACTTTAGATACTATATTAGTCAAGCTAATCCCTCTGTGATTATCACAGGAAGACTTGTCTCCCTTCTTGTATATGGGGATAATCAGTGACTTACACCAACCCGATGGGACTTCTTCTGATTCCCAGACGCTGCCTAGTACCTCAGTTAATCCGGACAGTAAGCTGTCTCCACCGTACTTAAATACCTCTGGAGTCATTCCATCAGGTCCCGCTGCTTTGCCTAGTTTCAGATTGGTGACAGCTTTAGTAACCTCAGTTAGTGACGGAGGACCTGTTCTATATCCCATTCAGGGAGGTGTTGGATGCTCGGAAGGTTGAGCGTGGCTGTGGGCAAATTAAACTGCTCCTCATAATGCTCTTTCCAACGATCCAGTCGTCTATCCTGGAGCTAATTATAGTGCCATTTTTTTCCGAGATTGTCTCACTAATGATTTGTCTTCTCCCACCCGTTTCCCTGATGAGTCCAAAGAGTTGCCTGGTGTTGCCTATCCTCGAAGCTTTCTCCATCTCTTTGGCTTTTGTCGCCCACCACTGTTCACGGTCCTTGCGGAGACTTTTCGTAAGTTTCCTCTTGTGCAGCTTTCGCTCCTCATTGAATTCGGAGCTCGCCGGAATAAGTCTTCTAGCATCTATCAGTTCGGATGAGGCGGTGGAGATCCAGTGGTTTTTACTCACCTTTGGGTTTACCTTATTCACAGCTTTTACAGCTGTATCTATGGCTGCCTGGATATTTTTCCAAGCTTCTTCAGGGTGAGCACAGCTGTCGAACACAGATATGTGTTTAGCTAGTTCTTCCTGAAATACGGATTTAGTTTCCTGATCGAGCTGGGGACGTGATGGTTTTACCGCCAGCTGTTTCCTACGTCCGTTCAGTCGTAAGCACACCCGAGCGCGGACCAGTGCATGGTCGGTATCTACGCACGTGTTCCAGAAGGAGCGACAATCTCCTACCGACCCACGCCAACGATAGCTTATTGCTATGTGGTCTATTTGTGTCCAGCGTTGGTTTGATGAAGGGGGTCTCCAAGTCAAACAGTGTCTCTCCTTGTGTTTGAAGTTAGTGCTTACAAGAAACAAATGATTATCAGAGCAGAACTGTAGGAGACGGTCACCGTTGTCGGTTCGCTGGCACGGAACTCCATAGGTGCCACCGACATCCTTCTCAGATTGACACAATTTCCCTACTTGAGCGTTAAAGTCACCAGCTAGAACGACTATGTCTGACGCAGCGATATTTGTTTTTTTTAAATGCCTTCTGGTATCTTCGTTTTTTCAATACTACTTTTCGCAAAACATCGACATTTCGTAACTGGATTTTTGTTACCAAGTTATAATTCACGCACACACATATGCATCTCTGCACTCTTTTTTAAAAGTATTTCAAACTGAAATTAACTTATATATGTATAAAACTTGAGCACTGTGATAAGGAGTAATTCCATATTAGTTTGTTCATTACTGAATTTAGTAAATAATACTGTTTCACTGTGTGATACATCTAATAAACAAACTAATATGGAATGAAATTAACTTAAATAGTTGAACTTTGATCTTGTCCAAAGTTTGCATTAAGTTTCCTTTTTATGTAGTATACAATGAGTAATAACATGTTATGAAACGACTTTTCCCTGGTTTTTTATGAAACAGTGGTATGGAGATCTGTATACTTAGTAGGGTGCGTCGGTTGTATAGCGGTTAGGACGCTCGCCGACCATGCACGTGGTTCAGGGTTCGATCCCCGGCCGACGCACTCCTTTACCTCGCTAAGTCAGAACTAGTGCTAGCAACTCCATCCTGTAAAATAAACATTGCTACAGAAACTTCAAGCCACTAGCCTGAAGCCCTATGTTCCACTGGGGAACGTGAAGGAAAAAAAGTACTTTGTAGGAGTCCAGTTTTCTTACATTGTCTTAGTATTTAGAAAAAATATTAGTCATTCATCAAACTGAAATTTAGAAAACAGAAAGATTGATCGGAGGAATATTTACTTTTCAATAAGATCCTCATCTCTGGCTATACTCTAATATATATAGCATTTTTATTACAATACACAACAGTTTACCAATCAAGTGGCGATATATTTGTTAACAATAATTAGTCAGTGTCAATGGGTTGATAATTAACGAAGAAAATCAATACACATTTAAAAGAATGGACACTGAACAAAGAGTACTCTTTTCGATAAATTCATCATCAGGCTCTACATTTATACATACATTATAGTGAATGAATGAATTAGTGTTATGAACGACATTAGTGTTTAAATAACGTCAAATCAATAATAATGATATTAATGGATGACAGTTCAATAGCATCAACATAAAATAAGCTGAATGTCAGAAAAATTGGGAAAGATAATATTACAAATCCATGAGTTTATAGTCTCTACTGAAGACCAAGCCAGTAGGGACTGGACTTGCTTCTTTTGGATACAGAGCGCTGGTTGTTTGAGGCGAGTCGCGATAGCCTCCGCTGTTTGGAGCCTGCAGTGCTACGATGATTTTGGCAATTTAGTAGGCACCCGGTAGATTATAGAGAAGGATCCTTCCACTCTGGCTTTGTGGCCGGTTTACACCAGATGTTCCAATATCGAGCTGTTAATAGTTTTCACTACACATTTACTTAGTCATGCTGGGAGATGTTATCGAGCACAAAAAATCAGGTTCCTAGAACAACGGTCGATATAACTCGCTCCACCACAAGCGCAGTTGAAATAGCCAATACCGTTAAGATCAATACTTGATATGTGAAATTCGCCCTACCATGCTCTAACCAGATTGTTAGTAAATATTCTCAAACCTCTGCATGATAAGATAGTGAAATAAAGCGTCAAAAATGTATTTGAATTCGTAGACAGAATCAAAAATATTAATATCAAGGACAAAACCATGATATCTCTGGACATAACATCTCTATTCACAAATGCACCTCTCGTAGAAACAGTTAACTACATATGTGAACAAGTGGATAACCAGTTGATAAACATTGGCATCCGTACTGAAATCCTAAAAGAATTGTTATTAAGGTGTACCATAAATGTAAATTTCAAATTCGACGGCACACTTTACAGGCAAGTGGGCGGCGTGACGATGGGCTTCCTATTGTGTCCCAATTTGGCTGATTTCTTTCTAAGTAAACTAGAAAATGGACCTTCGAACAACCTTATCAGAAAGTTCTCATTTTATTGCCGATATATGGATGACACCTTCATTCTTTGTGATAATGATTTGGATAGGAGTAAAATAATTACTCAATCCAATGAAGTACATTTGGCGATGAAATTTACGTGCGAAGAGGAATTCTAGAATAGAATTGCCTTTTTGGATGTCTTACTTAGAAGAAAACTAGATGGTAGCATAAAAAGAAATTTGAATAGAAAAAGTACTTGGACAGGACAATATACACATTTTCACAGCTTCGTTCCTCTTAAGTACAAAAGAAATTTAGTGAAGACCCTTAGCCAAACAGTTAGAGCTATATGCTCGGAAGAAGTAATTGAAGGTTAATCAGGCATTTTATATGATACTTTGATCGAAAATAGCTATCCCGTAAAATTGTGGAGCCAGTTATATTGGCCATTGCTCTAGGAACTTGATTTTTTGTGCTCGATAACATCTCCCAGCATGACTAAGTAAATGTGTAGTGAAAACTATTAACAGCTCGATATTGGAACATCTGGTGTAAACCGGCCACAAAGCCAGAGTGGAAGGATCCTTCTCTATAATCTACCGGGTGCCTACTAAATTGCCAAAATCATCGTAGCACTGCAGGCTCCAAACAGCGGAGGCTATCGCGACTCGCCTCAAACAACCAGCGCTCTGTATCCAAAAGAAGCAAGTCCAGTCCCTACTGGCTTGGTCTTCAGTAGAGACTATAAACTCATGGATTTGTAATATTATCTTTCCCAATTTTTCTGACATTCAGCTTATTTTATGTTGATGCTATTGAACTGTCATCCATTAATATCATTATTATTGATTTGACGTTATTTAAACATTAATGTCGTTCATAACACTAATTCATTCATTCACTATAATATATGTATAAATGATAGAGCCTGATGATGAATTTATCGAAAAGAGTACTCTTTGTTCAGTATCCATTCTTTTGAAAATTTTAATGGACACATTCAAAAGGTAAAAATGGTTAGAGGATCTAATTGAAAAGTAAATATTTCTTCGCTCAATCTTTCTGTTTTCTAAATGTCTAAATGGGGATTTTTTCTATAATGAAACTGAAATTTGCTTAATGTAACTGTGAAGTCATTCCGACAGGGTATTAGCTACATCATTCGAAAGTACGTTAGGATCCTTCGGGGATTCTGAATAAGATAAGTCACTTGTCCATATATATATATATATATATATATATATATATATATATCCGTGTGGCATTTATTTATCTTTTTAAGATATACGATCGTTAACTTTCCGTTGGATTATACAATACCCCTAGAGTAATAGACAATAGTGTTTTACCTTACTGTTTACGGATGTAATGCTCACCTGTTATGCAAATTATAAAATATTATGTTGTAGAATAGTAATTTCTTTTGCATTAGTCTTTAATTAGATCGACACTTACTCAGCTTTACAATATTAATTACTTTTTTAAAAATATCTACTTTTCAGCATTCAGGCTTCCTAACAATAAAACGAATGAACGTCTCTATTTTGCCATTTTCAAATGACCGGTGAACACGTCATATATGTGTCTTTAAACACACTCGTGCAAAATAAACTTGATTCAATGTTCATTCGCAATTTCACTTTTCCGGCAATTCATCTTGATAAAGCACGATACACAAAATTTGTACAATCATGAGTGAAATTATGAGACGAATGACTTGCTTTCACTTTTTATTCTGTGTTATTGTTTTTTCATAGTTATATTTTGAGTTCTTTTTTCAGAAAATAAGATCTAGTCATATTCTATGCAGTTTACTTCAACTATCTCATTAACACTGAGTTATCTTCCCCACCCCCACGTTTGATGGTACTACCTAGTTCCCTTGGCTGAAGTAGGCAACCAACCTTGATCTACTTGGTGTTAGCAATCATTCAAATGTGTGCGTATAATAACCACCCAC